ATCTAATCTAATCTAATCTAATCTATCTAATCTAATCTAATCTAATCTAATCTAATCTATCTATCTATCTAATCTAATCTAATCTAATCTAATCTAATCTAATCTATCTATCTATCTAATCTAATCTAATCTAATCTAATCTAATCTAATCTATCTAATCTAATCTAATCTAATCTAATCCTATCTAATCTAATCTAATCCTATCTAATCCTATCTATCTATCTAATCTAATCTAATCTAATCCTATCTATCTATCTAATCTAATCTAATCTAATCTAATCTAATCTAATCTCTCTATCTAATCTAATCTAATCTAATCTAATCTAATCTATCTATCTAATCTAATCTAATCTAATCTAATCTAATCTAATCTATCTATCTAATCTAATCTAATCTAATCTAATCCTATCTAATCCTATCTATCTATCTAATCGAATCTAATCCTATCTATCTATCTAATCTAATCTAATCTAATCTAATCTAATCTAATCTATCTAATCTAATCTAATCTAATCTAATCTAATCCAATCTAATCTAATCTAATCTAATCTAATCTAATCTATCTAATCTAATCTAATCTAATCTATCTATCTAATCTAATCTAATCTATCTATCTAATCTAATCTAATCTAATCTAATCTAATCTATCTATCTAATCTAATCCTATCTATCTAATCCTATCTATCTATCTATCTAATCTAATCTAATCTAATCTAATCTAATCTAATCTATCTATCTAATCTAATCTAATCTAATCTAATCTAATCTATCTATCTAATCTAATCTAATCTAATCTAATCTAATCTATCTATCTATCTAATCTAATCTAATCTAATCCTATCTAATCCTATCTATCTATCTAATCTAATCTAATCTAATCCTATCTAATCTAATCTAATCTAATCTAATCTAATCTATCTAATCTAATCTAATCTAATCTAATCTTATCTAATCTATCTATCTATCTTATCTAATCTATCTATCTATCTTATCTAATCTAATCTAATCTAATCTAATCTAATCTATCTATCTAATCTAATCTAATCTAATCTAATCTAATCAATCTATCTAATCTAATCTAATCTAATCTAATCTAATCTATCTATCTAATCTAATCTAATCTAATCTAATCTAATCTAATCTAATCTATCTAATCTAATCTAATCTAATCTAATCTAATCTATCTATCTAATCTAATCTAATCTAATCTAATCTATCTAATCTAATCTATCTAATCTAATCTAATCTATCTATCTATCTATCTAATCTAATCTAATCTATCTATCTATCTAATCTAATCTAATCTTATCTTATCTTATCTAATCTATCTATCTAATCTAATCTAATCTATCTATCTATCTTATCTAATCTATCTATCTATCTAATCTAATCTATCTATCTATCTAATCTAATCTATCTATCTATCTATCTAATCTAATCTTATCTTATCTTATCTATCTATCTATCTAATCTAATCTATCTATCTATCTTATCTAATCTATCTATCTATCTAATCTAATCTAATCTAATCTATCTATCTATCTAATCTAATTTAATCTTATCTTATCTTATCTATCTATATATATATACATATACATATCCCACTATATCCTCATTGTACATACCACCCATTTCTGGTAAGTCATTGGAGATGTTTTTCGTGTCCCGCTCGAGGTTGGGAAGCTTCTGCCGCAGCTCCACTGCACAGCGCAACGAAGAGCGTTGCGCTTCCAGCAAGCGAAGCTTCCTGGCGCTGAACCCGTTCCTGGAGAACCATTTTTGATGGGAAAAACCATCTATTTCTATGGACCATCTATACCATGGCGAACTGTTAGTCATAACCAGAGGGTATATGTTAAATAACCATGGGTATGGGTCAATACCTATAGTAATCCATTTTTAGTGGGTTATTCACATCCATTTTAACCCAGCTATGACTTGGGGTTCACATCACGGTACCAGGGTTTTGACCCATCCCCACATGGTTTTTTTACTGTACATGAAATGTATATCATGTGTGTATGTATACATCTATTATATTATGTATATATATATATATTACATGCATGTAAGTATATTACATGTATGTATACACATATAGTAGTCGGATGGGTGGGAGAATTCGATGCTAGGCCGCTGTGATCTGCATGTCAATGTGATTCAGGGGAAAAAATATCACTAAAAAATATGTATTTCTAGAAGCACACGGGTATTTTCTGAAAATGAAGGTTGTTGTCGTTGTGACTCTTTGTTTGGGAAAATTGTTCACACAAACCCAAGAGATCGATATCAGCTTGTTTGCTTAGGACTCATCAATTGCATTCATGGAAACTTCCAAAGGAATGATCTATGTAATTGAGCCTGAAAATCTAGCTTGTTCTTGAATCTCACTCCACTTCATATCATTTCACTGCGTCGATGTTCCTACACAAGCCTTGTGTATGTTGTCGCACACAAGTCTTTTGCTCTAGAAGGACTTGCAAGGCTACAGGCTCCCAGCAACACAGCTCGCCGCACAAGACAGCAGGGGTCACGGCACCAGAACGCTTGTCCTCGGCAGAGGTGGGTTGAATTTTGTCTGCTTTTTTCAGAGATTGTTCCAACACGCAGCTGGGCACATCTGAGGTTCAAGCCAAGCAACAAGCCTTCAGTGGCTGCAAAATGTGCTGGCAAAAGAATTAAGAAGCAGGAAGTACTGGAAAATGCAACGATGCTACCTTTCCTTTGATTGATGAACATGTTATTCATGTTACTCTTCTTGAGCTTGTGAGTATCAAACGCAGCAATTTTGGAGGAAATGCATTTGACCATGGCCAAGAGGCTGGTTGGCAACTTCGGTGAAACGCTGTGCAGCCTGAGAGGTGAGCAAACCAATGACTTGCAATCCCCACTGAGAGCCTGTTGGGCGTCCACCAAATTGGAAAAGCTATGCGCCTGGATGAAGGCCTGTTCGTGTCTGCGGACCTGTCGCCGGACCTGTAGGGCCATGGTTTCACAAGAACCAAGGGGTTGGCCATCCGTCAGTACTTGGATGTGTATCAGAGTCTGTGATTTCTCAACTTTCAGCATCCTGTAACTGTGCTGATAACATCTGATAACGGGTACCTTTGGAATATCCTCAGTGATTTATAATTTCTTATCCAGTGTCCGAGTTGAAGCAACTTCAAGCCATCCTGATATTTTTTGGACCCTCCCCAGCCTCTTGCAAAGCAGCCCTGGAGTTGGAAGCTTTGGTGTTCAAGGCCTGCGCCACCATGGGACCATGGCAGGAAGATGTGAAACTTAATCCTGTTTGATATCAATGATGGTTAGTGAGGGAAACATAGGGAAACTATCCCAAATATAGTTCAAAAATATGATAAGATAATGATTATTAATGATAGTTCCAATCATTCCCCAATACTTGTTATCAATATTTGATCATTTTCTGCGCCCCTTGCCGTCTGCCACTGCGTGGAAACACACCTCGTAGTCCTCCAAGGAATGGGACCAGCAATCCTCAGCTATTTCTCTCATTTATCTCTATGAAAATAGATCATCAATATCAATACTGTAAATATTCAATGATCAAGATATAAATATCAATGAAACAAATATGAATATCAATATATCAATTGATATCAATTGATCATCAACCTAAGCAGTGTGTGTGTGTATGTATATATATATATATTCTCAAGATTGTCAATATTCAATAATCTACAGTGTTTTCTTCTGAGCCAAGGCATCCAAGCTCAGCTCTTCACCTTTTGTTTCTTTAAGAGGTCACCTGCCACCTGCTGAACTCTCTGGAGGGACTCCTGCGCTGCGCAGCAAAAAAAATGCCCCAGGGGTACCTGTTGGGACCCTGTTCAGTATTTAACCATGTTTAACCATATTGAAACATTGATTTTGGGGGTATAAACAGCCATTTCCACCATTTTCACCATTTTCAAAGTGTCAAAGATCCCGGACCCGCGGCGTCCTGAGTAAGTCGCCCAAGTTTTGGCCTCAGCATGTCCATTTCATGTCCATTTCTGGGGAGCAACGCCCAGGCAGCACTGGGAACCTGAGAACCTCACCATTCCATCCCGCAGTGCTCGTCCACTTGCTCCAGGCAAAAGGAAGCCTCATGGCTCGACATGGCTCGACATGGCTCGACATGGCTCGACATGGCTCGACACGGCTCGACATGGGCAGCCAGTGACGCCAGTGATGTCAATGTTAGAAATTTGGGGAGCCAAAATCACTCATCGCTGACTTGTTGATGACTGTTAGAAACAGAATGAAACCAACGGATTTGGAGGCTCAAAGCCGTGTTTTAAAAGGAACATTACCCCAAAGCACTTCCTTCCTGAGCCAAGGGGCCGTCTTGTGCAGCTCCTGCGCAGCACGCTGGCATGCCTGAAAAGTCATGGCAAGGCCTAGCTTCTTATCTTCTTGGAGAGCTTGGAATCTCCCAGCGGCTCAAGGTGGCTCATGGCTCAAGATGGTTCAAGACGATTGGCACCAAATATATCGTGATTTGAATGAAAGATATTCGGCTTAGGCTTACCCTCTGGTAAACTAACATAGCTATGGAAAATCACCATTGTTAATAGGTAAATCAACTATAAATGAGCCATGTTCAATAGCTATGTTAGTTTACCAGAGGGTAGTCTTTGTTTCTAGATGGCTCTTAGGTCTTGCCAGCCATCGTGGCTTCATCGTGGTCGTCAGTTGGACTGTCACCACCTCTGTTGACCATGCACCGTTATGCCTGACTGCTGTGTCCGGGCCCATGCCTCTGTCTGGTCTTTTTGAATGGCCTCGTAAGAGCACGCAGAGATGACAAACATTCGGAACTCTGTTTTGGTTTGAAGCTGTTCCGTTTCCCATGCTATTGAACCTAAACTGTTTGGTGCTTGGTGTCAATCAGCAAGCGATCTGAAGTCTACAATGAATGTGCTGGCCCCTTGCCTGTCTTTTCTGCAAGGCTTCGTTCCAAGCTTGTGCGTGCCTTCCATGACATCCCACCCATGGAAATTCTATGAAATTTTGAGGTCTAGGGTGCCATCCCATGCTCAACAACAATCACCTGCCAGGAGGCACCCAACTCTCTGCGCCTCAGGTGTTGTGGGCCTTGTACCATGATGGCTTCACAGAGCGCCGCAGCACTCTGGTGCAGCAAGGACCGCTCAGCCGGCCAAGACTTTAAGGCGCCCCGGGCACGCTGTGGCACCAGCACCGTGCGACCACTGGAATTGGCCACTTCCTTTAAGGCTTCTTCCAACCTCGGGTTCTGCAACCACATGCAACATGCAACTTCGAGAGGGTGGCATTCAAAAACTAGCAGGACCCAAATCAATCCCCTGGCTTCCCGACATGCCCAAACTGGCAAAGCCTCTTGAGGTTCAGGGGCCCAGGCAAGCTGCTGAGATAAGGTACCCATGAGTTTCACTTTACTAGGCAAGGCTTGCGGGAAAAATGGACATGATGCAACAGCATTGTTTCACTGAAATGAAGCGTTTCAGACCTTTGGACGTCACGTATTTTCTTATCGAAAAGAAAAGGAGAAAGGAAGGAGATCCCTCTTATAGTTGGAGGTGAAGGTTGCCTGGGCTTCAGATGGAAACTGGCAACAGTTGTTTGACAAACCTTAGCCTTACCAGCCAAGCAACCAACTCAAGTACTGCAAGAGCGGTCCAGCATCAGGGGAATCCAACAATTCCAGCATCTGCGCAGGTTGCATCAGTTGAGGTGTGTGGAGCAGGCAGGCCACACAGGTTTCCATTGCCTGCGGTCACATCTTGGGGCAATTCTCAGTGCATCCCATGTCCAAATTTCAGGAATTCGGCAACCTCCACGGTCTTATTCACCTCAGAAAATCATCATAAAATATGGCAAGCCCCAGTCCAGCTACGAGTCGAGTCACAACTATTCCTCCACATGACTTGCCACTTTGATGGGTCCAAACTCTATTCCACCCCCTCACCAGGGAGTGTTTCCCCACAAATTTAACCAATGAAAACTTGGATCAGAACTTGGGGCCAGCCCCCCACCTGTTGGAAGCACGCTGGTGGCATGAAGTCCGGCTTGGCCGCCAAGGCCAGAAGGTGCTGCAGCTTCAACGCCTCCTCCCAGGTGCGGTCCTCAGAAACGGAGAACTCCGACAGCAGCACCTGGGCCCATGGAGGTGGCCATTTTTCATGGCAAAGACCACTGTTGAAAAAATGCCTGGTCCAAATGGAGTTGCAAAGAAAAAAAAAAAACTCCCATTCCCACTTTCCGAATCACCTTCCATTCCCACCGTCTCCAAACCCCCAAACCCCGGGCCCCACCTCCTTCTGCTTTCTCACTTCGGCGCATTGCCGTGCAATGTCCAGGGCCTGCACCAGGCTCTCGGGGCCGAAGCCCCGTGGCGCCTCCACGCCGACGCCGCCCACGGGGCCCACGGGGCCCACGGGCGCCTCGCCCGTGCCGCCGGACCCCGCGGCGGACATGGCGGTTCCATTGCGGGGAGCCCCAAACAAAGGCAGGGTTTTCGGGCGATTCCCTGGTTCTGATTTTGCGGGGAGTTACTGGGGTTGCTGAGTGTTGAGATGGATGAACATGTTGTCTAAAATATGTCTGAAATCTAAACACCTTCTGAAACCTTGGGATCAAATAGGTGGAAAACAACTTGCTATTGACGATGCATATGATCATTGGCGGCGGGAACCTGGCAGATTCCATCTTTTGTTAGGGGTTGTACTTTCGCAAGACTACATGCAGCTTTGTTCCTGGTGAGCCTACTGCACACTGTGAAAAACTGCACCTTCCGAGGTCAACTTGCTTCTAACTCTAAGGCTGTCCATGATGCCACATGATGCCACATGCTGCCAGATGCTGCCATCCTCCCATGCGGCCTTTCTGGCACTAACTCACGAAGCAAAAGCCGCTACAGACTTCTGCCGTTGCGTTCGCTGCATCATGGTGGCAGCGTCTCCGTTGCTCCACCACAGCACGTCCTACCTGCTACTCTCGAAACGGCATCCTCCAACTACTAGGACTAGGCTTTCCTCCAAAGCCAGTCCAAAGTCAAAACATCTTGAAAACGTGCAAACCTTTTCTTCAAATATAAATATAATATACATATATAATATATATATATTAAATCATTATGAATCTCCCAACCACTGGAAATAACATGAAAAATTGGGTCCACACTACGGAGCGCCCAGAGCTCAGAGCAGTTTCCGAATCAGACTGCCGTAGCTCGCCTTCGCGCCGGGCGCTGGCGCTGACGATGCCGCGGATGGCCTGGCGCAACGGCGCAACGGCGCAACGTCAGGTGGCGATCCTGAATCACCGATGCTCCTCGCCAAAAATGTGGCTCTTAGATGGTATGAGAAAAGTAAGGCTTGAAGCCCTGAAAATCCTGAAATAGGAACATATTTAGCGCATGTGCGGCCAAGAATTCCTGCGGATTGACCGATCATCTACGTCAATTTCACCTTTGAAAAAACATTGGGTGGTTACAAATCACAAGTGCGGGATCAACGAACAACATAAAGGCATGTGGTGGAATCTTGAGACATAGCAAGTTCACTAGTTCACTTCATCAAAGAGATGGAGGAGCCAGGGAAAGTCTCACAACTGGGAAAAAGAACATTTTAGCCCTGTTCTTTCCACCAAAAAGTGATGTTCGGTCACCCAAAATTGATTTCTACCCACCATGACCGCCCAAGAAGTGATGTTGATCAGAATCAAAACGATAAATCATCAGGACCTGGCTGCTGGCGGCGTTCCGTCTTTGCCAGCCGGCCTGGCGAGTTTGGCTCTTCCCAACTCCACTGAGGGATGTCATTAGTTGAAAAGAAAATCTGCAGGAGAACGTGAGTTTAAGCCAAAAGTATGGAGGTTCCTGTAATTTTTCCTTTCAAGCAATTCTACGGTAGGTCTTATCCTATCAGATGTTCCCAAGTGGTGGGGTGGTGGCCCTCACCAACCATTGTTTGCAGATAGGCTGCCATAGGCCATACCCCTCTAGCAACATCCCCAACCACTCGGGACAGTCATTTTGCAACACCAATCCATCATGTGAATCATGCCCCAAAAGTTTTCTTCGCTCTTGTGTGCGAGTTACCGCACAGCGTGTAAGCTGGACGGTATTTGCAGCATTTGAACCTTGAGTCTCTCGTTTCCATCCGTTGCAAGATGTTGCAAGGTATTAATTGCAGCATTGTTAAGTTGAAATCCCGCATTTGCACCGTCTTTAATTACAGCATTTTGGAGCTAGAAACTGCAACTCTTATTATTTTTTGCAGCATTTTGAACCCTGAATCACTTTTTTCACAAAGTGCGTTGCATCTTGGAGCCAGCATCTGTACTGCACGCAGTAGTAGTTGCAGCATGTTTAAAATAAAATATTGTATTTGCACGGTATTTGCAAGATTTTGGAGCAAACCTCCAAAAGATGCATGGTATTTGCTACATGTTCAAAAGTCAAACCTGTTCTTGTTATTTTGTTTCTTTTAATTTGTCCCTTGTTGTTAGAAGTTAGCACAAAGGTTGCAGCATACTGGCGATTGAATCTTTGTTTGCATGATATTTGCAACGCTTTCTCCTCTAAAATATCCTTCCGGACGGACGTTCACCCAAAGTTTCATTGGGTTTAGACACGTTAGGCCTCATTTAGGCTTAGGTTTAATTTTGAGGTTGTTTTAGTGTTTTAGTACTATACATTTCGTGTTTATCCCAACCACTCCACCAGCCGCCGGCCACTCCTGTTCTGCTTCACCATCGATGCTCTTTGAGCGGATGCACTCTTTGGTTGCGGCTCGCTTGTCCCTGGAAGCCTGAACACTGCACTGGACTGGCGTGTTTCAGCAGACCGAAACGTTGCAAGCACCAGCAATCACACAAAAGGAAAGTATTTGTTTCATCTTCCTGGTCCAGATTTCTTACATGTTTAAACAAACCACAAGATGCTTACAAATCACAAATGCGGGGTCAACGAACAACATAAAGGCATGTGGTGGGATCTTGAGACATAGCAAGTTCACTAGTTCACTTCATCAAAGAGATGGAGGAGCCAGGGAAAGTCTCACAACTGGGAAAAAGAACATTTTAGCCCTGTTCTTTCCACCAAAAAGTGATGTTCGGTCACCCAAAATTGATTTCTACCCACCATGACCGCCCAAGAAGTGATGTTGATCAGAATCAAAACGATAAATCATCAGGACCTGGCTGCTGGCGGCGTTCCGTCTTTGCCAGCCGGCCTGGCGAGTTTGGCTCTTCCCAACTCCACTGAGGGATGTCATTAGTTGAAAAGAAAATCTGCAGGAAAACGTGAGTTTAAGCCGCAAGTATGGAGGTTCCTGTAATTTTTCCTTTCAAGCAATTCTAGGTCTTATCCTATCAGATGTTCCCAAGTGGTGGGGTGATGGCCCTCTACCAACCATTGTTTGCAGATAGGCTGCCATAGGCCATACCCCTCTAGCAACATCCCCAACCACTCGGGACAGTCATTTTGCAACCAATCCATCATGTGAATCATGCCCCAAAAGTTTTCTTCGCTCTTGTGTGCGAGTTACCGCACAGCGTGTAAGCTGGACGGTATTTGCAGCATTTGAACCTTGAGTCTCTCGTTTCCATCCGTTGCAAGATGTTGCAAGGTATTAATTGCAGCATTGTTAAGTTGAAATCCCGCATTTGCACCGTCTTTAATTACAGCATTTTGGAGCTAGAAACTGCAACTCTTATTATTTTTTTGCAGCATTTTGAACCCTGAATCACTTTTTTCACAAAGTGCGTTGCATCTTGGAGCCAGCATCTGTACTGCACGCAGTAGTAGTTGCAGCATGTTTAAAATAAAATATTGTATTTGCACGGTATTTGCAAGATTTTGGAGCAAACCTCCAAAAGATGCATGGTATTTGCTACATGTTCAAAAGTCAAACCTGTTCTTGTTATTTTGTTTCTTTTAATTTGTCCCTTGTTGTTAGAAGTTAGCACAAAGGTTGCAGCATACTGGCGATTGAATCTTTGTTTGCATGATATTTGCAACGCTTTCTCCTCTAAAATATCCTTCCGGACGGACGTTCACCCAAAGTTTCATTGGGTTTAGACACGTTAGGCCTCATTTAGGCTTAGGTTTAATTTTGAGGTTGTTTTAGTGTTTTAGTACTATACATTTCGTGTTTATCCCAACCACTCCACCAGCCGCCGGCCACTCCTGTTCTGCTTCACCATCGATGCTCTTTGAGCGGATGCACTCTTTGGTTGCGGCTCGCTTGTCCCTGGAAGCCTGAACACTGCACTGGACTGGCGTGTTTCAGCAGACCGAAACGTTGCAAGCATCAGCAATCACACAAAAGGAAAGTATTTGTTTCATCTTCCTGGTCCAGATTTCTTACATGTTTAAACAAACCACAAGATGCTTACAAATCACAAATGCGGGATCAACGAACAACATAAAGGCATGTGGTGGGATCTTGAGACATAGCAAGTTCACTAGTTCACTTCATCAAAGAGATGGAGGAGCCAGGGAAAGTCTCACAACTGGGAAAAAGAACATTTTAGCCCTGTTCTTTCCACCAAAAAGTGATGTTCGGTCACCCAAAATTGATTTCTACCCACCATGACCGCCCAAGAAGTGATGTTGATCAGAACCAAAACGATAAATCATCAGGACCTGGCTGCTGGCGGCGTTCCGTCTTTGCCAGCCGGCCTGGCGAGTTTGGCTCTTCCCAACTCCACTGAGGGATGTCATTAGTTGAAGAAAATCTGCAGGAAAACGTGAGTTTAAGCCGCAAGTATGGAGGTTCCTGTAATTTTTCCTTTCAAGCAATTCTAGGTCTTATCCTATCAGATGTTCCCAAGTGGTGGGGTGATGGCCCTCTACCAACCATTGTTTGCAGATAGGCTGCCATAGGTCATACCCCTCTATCAACATCCCCAACCACTCAGGACAGTCATTTTGCAACACCAATCCATCATATGAATCATGCCCCAAAAGTTTTCTTCGCTCTTGTGTGCGAGTTACCGCACAGCGTGTAAGCTGGACGGTATTTGCAGCATTTGAACCTTGAGTCTCTCGTTTCCATCCGTTGCAAGATGTTGCAAGGTATTAATTGCAGCATTGTTAAGTTGAAATCCCGCATTTGCACCGTCTTTAATTACAGCATTTTGGAGCTAGAAACTGCAACTCTTATTATTTTTTTGCAGCATTTTGAACCCTGAACCACTTTTTTCACAAAGTGCGTTGCATCTTGGAGCCAGCATCTGTACTGCACGCAGTAGTAGTTGCAGCATGTTTAAAATAAAATATTGTATTTGCACGGTATTTGCAAGATTTTGGAGCAAACCTCCAAAAGATGCATGGTATTTGCTACATGTTCAAAAGTGAAACCTGTTCTTGTTATTTTGTTTCTTTTAATTTGTCCCTTGTTGTTAGAAGTTAGCACAACGGTTGCAGCATACTGGCGATTGAATCTTTGTTTGCATGATACTTGCAACGCTTTCTCCTCTAAAATATCCTTCCGGACAGACGTTCACCCAAAGTAGTTTCATTGGGTTTAGACATGTTAGGCCTCATTTAGGCTTAGGTTTAAGTTTGAGGTTGTTTTAGTGTTTTAGTACTATTGGTTTCGTGTTTATCCCAACCACTCCACCAGCCGCCGGCCACTCCTGTTCTGCTTCACCATCGATGCTCTTTGAGCGGATGCACTCTTTGGTTGCGGCTCGCTTGTCCCTGGAAGCCTGAACACTGCACTGGACTGGCGTGTTTCAGCAGACCGAAACGTTGCAAGCATCAGCAATCACACAAAAGGAAAGTATGTGTTTCATCTTCCTGGTCCAGATTTCTTACATGTTTAAACAAACCACAAGATGCTTACAAATCACAAGTGCGGGATCAACGAACAACATAAAGGCATGTGGTGGGATCTTGAGACATAGCAAGTTCACTAGTTCACTTCATCAAAGAGATGGAGGGGCCAGGGGAAGTCTCGCAACTGGGAAAAAGAACATTTTAGCCCTGTTCTTTCCACCAAAAAGTGATGTTCGGTCACCCAAAATTGATTTCTACCCACCATGACCGCCCAAGAAGTGATGTTGATCAGAACCAAAACGACAAATCATCAGGACCTGGCTGCTGGCGGCGTTCCGTCTTTGCCAGCCGGCCTGGCGAGTTTGGCTCTTCCCAACTCCACTGAGGGATGTCATTAGTTGAAAAGAAAATCTGCAGGAAGACGTGAGTTTAAGCCGCAAGTATGGAGGTTCCTGTAATTTTTCCTTTCAAGCAATTCTAGGTCTTATCCTATCAGATGTTCCCAAGTGGTGGGGTGATGGCCCTCTACCAACCATTGTTTGCAGATAGGCTGCCATAGGCCATACCCCTCTAGCAACATCCCCAACCACTCGGGACAGTCATTTTGCAACACCAATCCATCATGTGAATCATGCCCCAAAAGTTTTCTTCGCTCTTGTGTGCGAGTTACCGCACAGCGTGTAAGCTGGACGGTATTTGCAGCATTTGAACCTTGAGTCTCTCGTTTCCATACGTTGCAAAATGTTGCAAGGTATTAATTGCAGCATTGTTAAGTTGAAATCCTGCATTTGCACCGTTTTTACAACATTTTGGAGCTAAAAACTGCAATGTTCATTGGTATTTGCAGTTGTTGCAAAAAAAAAAAACATAGCATCTGGGGGAGCCAAGCCAGTATTATTTGCATTGAGTTTGTTTCAGTGTTTAGTACGATTGGTTTCGTGTTTATCCCAACCACTCCACCAGCCGCCGCCTCCTGTTCGGGATGGTCTTGAGATTGTTCTGCTTCACCATCGATGGTCTTTGAGCGGATGCACTCTTCGGTTGCGGCTCGCTTGTCCCTGGAAGCCTGAACACTGCACTGGACTGGCGTGTTTCGGCAGACCGAAACGTTGCAAGCATCAGCAATCACACAAAAGGATAGTATGTGTTTTATCTTCCTGGTCCAATTTTTCATTTGAGCAAAGGGCTGGTTTTTTGTGTGATTTTTTAGCCTGAGTCTGGGTTTGGCTGCATTTTGGAACCAAAACGGGGATGAAATCTCTAATTTGGATCATATTTGCAACATGTTGGACCGTGGATTGTTGGCAGAAAATTCGCAGCATCTTGGATCCGGCATTTGCACAATATTGGTTGCAGTTGCATCACGTTTACATGGTATTTGCTACATGTTGAAAAATTAAACCTGTTCCCATTGTTACTTATAGTTTTCTACCTTGCTGACGTTGATAGCACAAAAGGAGCAAAATATTAAAACATGTCCCACAACCACAAAAGCAGCACAACCCGGCTACAAAATGGCACAGCTTGAAAAGGCTTTGGGCAAGCAGCAAAGACATCGCGAACTGATCTTGATATGTGCTCGAACAGGAAAAAAAACACCACACTTTTTCCATCAAACATGGCAACCGACAATCCCCATGCATAGGTGATTTTCCCGTGACAACATATTAAAACGACATTTAGCTCGGACATTTCCCACCTAGCCATGTTTGATGACACCGAAAGGTACAGAAATTGAAATGCCAATCAAAGAAGTACCAGAGATGAAAAATCCGCTGACCCCGGCTTTGGCAGTAGCCAGGTCACACATCTTTGCGTGTCCTATATAATGCTTGGCTGGCTGTGGCCACGTCAGTAATTTGTTTTTTCCTTGGCATGCAGCTGTCACGCCACGGATCTCCGTCAGAATGCCCTGTCCAGCCTTCAGTTGCATGGTGTTGCAGTTGGCGGGTCCAGTGTTTTGCAGCTCAAGGTTTGCTGTTTTCGGACGGTGCCTGGGCCCATATATCTTTCTTTTCTGGCGTTCAGCTGTGACTAGGCTGTGACGCCGCGGGCCTGCGACAGAATCCCCTGTCCGGCCTTCAGTTGCACAGTTTTTCGGTGTGGCGGGTCTAGCATTTTGGGCCGCCCATATCATATATCTGTTTCTTTTCTGTGGTTCATTGGCGCCACGGGCCTGCGGCAAAATCCCCTCTGGCCTTTGGTTGCCCGGCGCCTGCACCTGAACCTTCTGGAACCTGATTGGGGCACCGCATCGGAACCATCTGGAACCTGACCCGGAAACCACACCGGAACCGCATCGGAACCTTCCGGAACCTGACCTGGGAACCGCACGGAACCTTCCAGAACCTGACCCGCGAGCTGAACCAGAGCACACTGGAGTTTATCTTGGCTGAAGATCCCATTACCCATTGGCGTACGCTGTTGGGGAAAAACGACACAAACCAGCAAAAAAAAACAAGCAAACCCCCTGACCTTCTTGAAGTAGGTGGGGCACCTTTTGGTGGTGCAGGACCACTTCTTGCAGTGGGCGGCGCACCTTTTGGCGGTGCAGGACCACTTCTTGAAGCGGGCGGCGCACTCTTTGGCGGTGCAGGACCACTTCTTGAAGCGGGCGGTGCACCTTTTGGCGGTGCGGGGCCACTTCTTGAAGTGGGTGGAGCACCTTTTGTGCTAGCTGCAGTGCCCCTTTTTGGTGCCGCAGCATCTCTTCCACGTGCACCCAGAGGTGCCTCTGCCATCCTGTCACAGGCCGAGCGCATGCAATGAGCAGCTTCAAAAGCCTGCTTTAGAGCATGTCTACTAGTTGGTTGACAGGGATTCTTTCGTGTGAGCGCGCTTCTCTCTCTCTGAACTTGTCTGCTCTGCTCTGCTTGGATGATCCCTCAAATCAGTAGGGCTTCGAAAATGGGCCGCGGCCAGTTGTAGCTACTAAGGCCAGCGCGCCAGATTTCATTCGGTTGCTACGATTACTTTTTGGGTCGGATCTCTACGGTGGCTGCACAAAAACACGACTCCAAATTCCATACCTCGCAATGCAACAATTATTGCTTTTAATGAGTCCCCTATTGCTTTACGAGGTTTCATGCGCTCACTCCAGCACGCGTTGCCTGAACGCAAAATTGGACATAATCTCATGTGCAATCATATTCCCCATTCAGCCTTGTAGCCCCCAATAAGCAACCACCTGTCTCTGTTTCTTGAGGCCTGTCTACTCAGCACATGTTTTTGCGCCTCCTGACAGATCCCTTGGTGATTGGATCCTTCACCACACCCTTCGAAGGAGGATTCGGAGGATTTCGCGGTGGTACATGTGGCACACTCGCGGTGCTGGTGCTGACATAGGGCGGTCTGGACAGAGCCTCCTGCCAGCGCGGTCCCGGTGCTACCACTATGCTACTTCCCTTGTGGTGAATGAAAGTGAAGGACGATGGCCAGTACCTGCGTTTTGTGATTTTTATTGCAAGATCATCTAGATTTGTTGACTATCCCATCTGCAAACAAACAATGGAAGGCACTGTTTGTGACAACTCCAAGCACACATGATGGTGGAAAATGCGCAATGGCCAAAAATGTTTCGAAAGTGTGTGAATCGCATAAGCCCCAAGACAAAACGATCATGGGGGAGGTGAAATGACCATTTCCTGTTCATCAAAACCACCAAACATTCCAGGTACATCACCATCTTGTCACCCTGCCCGCCTGCCCATTTTTGTAGCTCCCATGCACAGACTTCACCTCTTCAGTGACCACCTGAAAAAGATGCAGGAAACTGTTTCCCCCAAAACAGAAAAATGAAGGGACCGGGTAACAATAAAACAATCCCAGATCCTAGAAAATACATGAAAATACTATTTTGAACAATTACTCCATGAATGAAGCATGGCTCCAATGAGACCTGTCCCACCAACTGTGTCCAACCCAAGCTGAACAACCCTTGGCCGCGCACTGGACGATCCGTGCGGCGGACTGAAGCTGGATGCTCTCCATACGCCAACCGCCTGGAACGGGAAAATGAGACCCCCGTGCCCAGCTGCCACAGGGCTAAAAGCACCTCGCTGGATTCTGCGACAAGAACAACCACCTTTGAGAAGAGGAGTTCACAGGTTTCAGCCAGTTTCAGCCACTTCAATCACGTCAAATTTTGGGGATGTAAGAAGGCTGGCTAGCCACAACGAAGGGAGGTCTTGGTGTATCTAGCACGTGCCCAAGAGCTTGGTGACCATCCAACTAAGACCTGAATGAATCAATATATGTAAGTTTCTTAGCCACTTGGGTCGAAGAAGCCAAGAAACCAACAGCAGCATTTCGAAGCCTCAATCTGTTATTTCCATGCTATTTGCACCATTCTGGACCTTGATCGTTGTATATATCTGCTCGCATGTGCATATGATTTGCTGCAATTTCCCGTTTGACTTCGTAGTAGCAGAGGAGTTTGGTTTCAAAAAAATAATTTCATGGCAGGTGCATGTTTTTCAGGATAAGGTGCAGATTTCATGGCAAACTTTGGAGGGGGCACTGGGAAGAAGACGCGGCGGTCTCCCAAAAAAACAATGTTGTTGGCATTGCCTTCTCTCTGTTCTTGGCACTCTTGCTGATTTTTTCCTACAGATGTTCCCCTCATTGCTCGCACAATGCTTGCAGAACATTGAAGGTTGGATCGAGTTGAATCGATAATTCAAACCGTAATTGCCGCGGTTTGGTGCTGACATATCTTAGCAGTATTTGCAGCACCTCGGGCCAAGATTCCTGTTTTTGTTTTCTTGTTGGATATTGGATCTTGTTCCTCCCGGCATTATGGTTGTTTGTTATCCTTCCTAATGTTTCCCTTGCTGTCTGAATAATAGTTGCCACATATTGCAACCACAAAAGCTGAAGAAACCTAGAAGCCAAGAAACCAAAAATCGAAGAAACGAAAAGCCACAAGAAACAAAAAAGCTGTTTTACAACGATAACACCTGTGTTAGTCTTGAGCCAGAACAGCACACAAGTAAGTGAGATATAATGGGAATATTTGGAATATATACCTGTATGTTCAAACAACATCCCCGGCTGCCCGCAGTTGCGCGGAGGACGGAAGATGAAAACGTCCGGCATGAAGTGCCTAATCTTGTACCGGAGACTGCTCAGCTGCAAGAGTACACTGATGACGATGATTGTGGGCACGAATGATGATAACGATAATGCTGCTGCTACTGCTACTGCTACTGCTACTGCTGCTGCTACTGCTGCTGCTGCTGCTGATGATGATGATGATGATCTGATGATGACGATGATGATGATGATGATGATGATGATGATGCTGAAACGTTGAAGATGACGACCCTGTACTTGCACGTAACCTACGGGGGGATTGAACCCGAACCTGCCACTGAAAGTTTCACTGTTTTCAACAGTCCTGGTGCCTGCCTCTTCTTGCTGAAGCAAGAGCAACTTCAGCCAGCACAAGCTAGCTTTCGTGAAATTAGAACAATCCCCAGAAATTGGGAGAGGCGAACCCCATCAACCGCATACATTTTTTTTCATCAACCTGACAAGTGGCAAAGTCACTTTGGCTGCAACATCACTGCTCCCAGTGGCCTGTTGGCTGCACTCGGCGTGCCGTACCTTGCTCCCGCTTTAGGAACAGAGGAGTTTGGCACTCGGTTCGATGGTGCAGAGCCCGGTCGTTTGCCGAGAGCAAAGGAACCGGCTAGCCTGTTAACATGCAGGTCTGGGTGAAGACTGGGAGTCGTTTGGTGCTTTGTTTTGTTTTTTAGCTTTGCAATTTGATCTGTTCCCGTGTAGCCAAACGCAGAGCGTCTAAAAGACATGCAAAACATATGCTTTGCAAAATGTATGTTGCCAGGACAACAAGAAGTCCAATTCAAAGACTGTATCCTGAACTTTGTTTGCAATGACCTTTGGCCTTTGCACTTATCATGATCAGGGGATGAAATTGCCGGACAAAAAAAAAGGTGCAGATTTCACGCCTGCTGACGGATGTCTTCGTGACTGCATCCTTCACCACACCCTTCGAAGGAGGATTTGGAGGATATCTTGGTGGTAGATTTCTAAAGCTTGCGGTGCTGGTGCTGACATACTGCGTTCTGGGCGGAGCCTCCTCCCAAACGTGTGTGCCAGAGGAAACAAACTGAATCACTCCGCGCGCGGCTCAATAACGGCACAAGTCCAAGAGAGTCAACTGGAAAGGCTCAATCTTTGCATCCAAGCATTTTTGCCATGACATCCAAACGTTTTTCCGATCATAAAACTACGCTCCCTTTGATACAGTTTACATATATACCGATATACCTTAAACTATGTGCCCCATAATCATACAGCTTACAAATATACCTCTGCACATTCATTTGTCCATTGCTTTTAACATATATATATATATATGCGTGCGTGTGCACATGTAATCATATATATATATATGTATATATGCACACGCACACATATATATATATATTAGTTTGCACTTACATTGGTTCAAACGTAAGGATTCTTCTATCATAAACAAATATGCATCTGACCATCTACAAATTTTAGCTCTCGACGTTTTGAAACGACCTGCATGGCAATAAATATGCTGGAGTTTTGTATTTTCATTCCAGCTGGTAACCAGTCTATAGATCTCGATCCACAGCCATTTGGATGTCAAGCCAGCACCTTTCAACGAGGGTAAGGATAGGTGACCCTTAGGGTAGGCAGCCCGGATTTGCTAGATGATTCTTAGCCAGCTGATTTTCAGGTAACCGACATACCACTTTTTACCTGATCTTTTGTTTTGACATGAACCGCCAAGGATGAACCAGCATAGAACCCCGAAAAACATGATAACTTATATCTGCCTCGTGGTTTCAAAGCTCACAAAATTGTTCAATACAGTTTCTAAGTTCTGCAAAAGTCTGATTTTCGAAAAATCCAACTCCACAGGGCGAAACTAAAACTGGCGCTGCAAACCCACATTTATAGCTATCCCGGCAAGAGACCCCAAACAGTGTTGTAAGGAACATGACGAAGATAGAAGATCGTGCGCAAGATCTCCTTGACAGGTTCTCTGTAGAAGCTGCTGTGCAAGATCCCTGTGTCAGGCTACTTGTACAAAGTGTCTATAGGCTGTCTGTGCAAGCTCCCTATATCGCTCTATAGAAGATCTCCTGGCAAGATCTCTGTACGAGACCTCTTGGCAAGATCTCTGTACAAGATCTCTACAAGTCTGTATAAGAGTCTCTTGGCAAGATCTCTTGATGAGATCTCTGCACAAGCTCTCTAGAAAAGAGCTCTCTTGGATGACTGCAACAGATCTATATGCAAGGTCCCTGCGCAAGATCTTTTTAAAAGGTTTCCTGGCAAGATATCTGTACAAGATCTTTTTAGGTCTCTTGGCAAGATCGCTGTATGAGATCCGTGTACAAGCCCTCCAAAAGCGCTCCCTTGGCAAGATCTCCGCGACAGATCTCCAAGAGATCCCTGTACAAGGTCTCTACAAGAGGTCTCTTGGCAAGCTCTCTGTACAAGCTCCCTATAAGAGGTCTCTTGGCAAGATTTTCTCTCTGTACAAGATCTCTATAAGAGGTCTCTGTACAAGATCTCTATAAGAGGGCTCCCTGGCAAAATCTCTGGGTGAGCTTTCTATACAAGACCTCCTTGTCAAGATCTCTGCGCAAGATCTCCCTGATCGTCAGAATGGGCAACACGCCACAACGCGAGCGACCTGACACGCCTAAAGTGCCGAGACAAAATTCGCACAGCGCCAGGACGCAAGCGATCTGACACGCCCAAAGTGCCGAGAGGGTTGCACGATCTGACATGCCTAAAGTGCCGAGAAGGTTGCACGATCTGACGGGCCCAAAGTGACGAGAGGGTTGCGCGAGCAAGCTCAAACGCGAGCAATCTGACAGGCTCGAAGTGCCAGGAGGGTCGCGCAAGCGATCTCAAGAGAAGATTGCGCGAGCGAGCGCAAAATGAGCACTGCGCTACAACGAGAGCGATCTGAGAGGCCCAAAGTGAGGAGAGGGTGCGCGAGAGGGCTCCGGGCAACCGTTCCCTGCGAGACTTCCGTCAAAAACAGAAGATGCAGGAGCTTTTGTGCTGTAATAATCATCAAAAACTGCGCACACGTATGAGACCACCACCTGGAATGAACACCAAGCCTTAACCCTTACCGTAAGAAACCCAAGTGTGGCCATTCATTGTTTGGGGCAAAAACCTTCCATCCTATGCAAGATTTTTCTCTTGCCTCACAGGGTGCCACAAACCCATCGCAATTTTTTTGATAACGAACTCCTTCGCAACATCTCATTGGACAATTCGTAATGCATTTTTTCTGGCTCTGGCTTTTCCTTGTAAGGAACCGCTAGGCAGCCCTCCCTAGCCACGTATTTTTGTCACGATTCTTTAGCTCCGAAATGTAAAATCGGTCCTGAACCGCTATGCCATTGAACACATTGCTTCAAATCCGCCCGCACCGAAGGTGCCGAGGCATGGCCACTTTCGAAATCGACCCGACACCAAAAAAAAGCTGTCGCTGTGGCAGTTTGGATATTTTGCATGTCGTCAAAGCATTTTCCAAATTCACCGTTTCGACCCCACATGTTCGCAACATGGGCTCAACATGGCTCAACAAACCTTCAACTTAGCACAACTTGGACCCAACTTCGACCCAACTTGGGTCCAACATGCCGCAACTTGGCCACAAGTTCGACCTGTTTGGGAGCAACTTCGGCCCAAGCTGAGCCCCAACATGGGGACATGGCCGGCCCCTTCTTGCGAAACGGCAGTAAGTTGCCCAATGTTGGAGCTGACTTGGACTTACATGTGCATAGCATGGCTTCAACTTGGGGCCAATTGGCTCCAACTTGGGCCAAGCTGGGGCCAGCCCGGGCCAATTTTGCAGACTCAATTCTGAAAACATGCGTTTTTCGCCACTATTTCCGACTATGTATTTCCAACGTGCCAGGCCGTTGTCTCCACACAGGACCAAGTTGCGCATGTTAAACCCAACTTGTGTCCGAGCGTGCCCAAGTTGCCCCATGTTGGACCCAAGTTGGGCTGAAGTAGTTATGCCCAAGTTGGGCCCGAGTCGGCAACTTAACCCATGTCTTGTTGTTGGGCCAACTAGACCCATGTTCTTCACCCTGCATCTGCAACTACCATACTCCTCAACTTCAAAAAGTCGTCCCTGACCGGACCTGCACAATTTCCATATAATCGGGGTGCGGGTGGTACTCATCGCGAAGTGACTCGAATATTGACATAGGTACATAGGATATCCAGTTTTTAAAGGAATGGTCATGCCCCGGGGGATCAAGTCTAAGTCTGCGATATTCATCCACAGGAATTGCTTAAACAATGATTTTGAAAACGGGATGCAAAGATTTGTTCTGTCCTTCGCATTCAGCACATGGGGCGCTGGTGGTGGCGCGGGAGGTGCGGGCGGTGCAAGTGGCGCTGGCGCCTCTGCAATGGCGGAAAATGACACCTGGGACCTCGAATCAATGGATCCTTACCAACAATCAATGGAAATGTCATTGAAGTATCGTAAAAATGTCATGAAGAAAGATCTGGGTGAGCATGTTTATATATATATTATATATATTATATATATTATATATATTATATATATATTATATATATATTATATATATACATATACAGTGTGTATATATATATATGTATAGTCAAAGATCATACCAATAAAATCCGCTGACATCAGTCCCGACATCACCTGCGCCTCAGGGGGATGTGACTTGATGTGGCGTCCCTGAAGCTCAGGCAGCACCTCTCAGGAATCTGGGATTCCTAAGAATTCATTTAAAAAAAACATGGGATGCGTTCAGGCCCTCCAAAGATGACCAGTCATGTGCTTTTGGGGGCCAATGGTACCATGCTCTGCCCATGAGTGCGCTATTGTGGACTATCCCCATAGACTATCCGCACCGCCTCATGCGACGGATCAAACCCCTGGTACTCTGGTGAAAATTAAATTAGCTCATATAGCTGGATGCAGCTGGATATATATATATATATTTCCCCTCATTGACATGGGAGAATCAAAAGTTCAAACAAAGTTCAGGCCCATCCTCAACCCCGGCTGTTGGTACACCCCCAATAGTTTGGGTGTTGTGCTTGTTCAAACCCAGTTTGTTGGAATTCCCATTTCCATCCAAAATTATCACTTCCAGTACTACCCATCACTTCTGAATCTCGGTTTTATAGCATCTAAAAATCATTTCTAATGATTAAGTCCCTATTTCTGTCTATGAAATCCCAGTCTTTGATGATTCTCCCCCTTTTAGACGGTTGAATTGAATCCCATGTTTGACGGTTTAAATCCCAAGTTTGAATGTTTACACAGTTTACACTCCATTTTTGGTGGCTGAATCATGTGAAGAATCACCCACCTAAGTATCCTCAGAATCAAATCTCACCCACCCTAAAGGGCCTTCTTAAGATCCACAGGTGCCACCTCTGGAGCACCAGCTTCGCGACGGTGGGCCTGGAAGCAGATCGCAAATAGACTATTCTAATTCCGTACATACATGTATGTACGTAGGTAGGTAGGTAGATAGGTAGGTAGGTATGTGTATATATATATACATTAGTAATTATATCATGTTATATCAATTCATATCATGTCATGTCATATCATATCATATCATATTATTATATTATGTCATATAATTAGTGGATATATATATATATACACAAATGATATGTACATAAATTATACATATGGACAGCTAGACAAGTAGAGTCTATCCGTTCACCAAGCACCATTGAAGGTAGGAAATGGTGAGTTGATGAGTACAGTAATCCTGTTTCGACTTAGAAGGTTGCGCCTTGAATGGGTTAGATCCCACTTGCAAATTTCATGGATCCCCACTGACAACTTACAGCGGCCTGTCCTTGATAAGCTCCAGATCCACAAGTAGCAAGTCTCGCTGCCACGTTCCAGCCGTCACATAGATGTCCAAGCTAGTGGTCGGAAGGAGCCATTTCAACTCGCGATAAAGATCCCTGCAAGTCAGACTCTTGGTAGGGTCAAGTCGCTGCAAGTCCGTGTGGCTTTGGGTGAGAAACCACAAATTCAAAACTTAATGTATCTAAACATGGGCGATTGGACAACTAGCTTCCCTAAAACTCCACCACATCAACCACAAAATGGCGGACTAAATGACTAGATGAACCCGGGTTCTTTCAAAGGGTTTTAGCATCCCAAAAATTGCCAATGAAATGCGTTAAGAGTAGGGTCTTGCAGCAAATCATTCCATGTCCATGCACTTACTGCCAATGAAATCCCAAGATGCTCATCGCTCTTCACCGCATTCTCTTGGCCCATGGAGCAGCACAGCTGGCCCCGCAAACTAAGGCAGCTGGCCAGCTGGCGCGCAGGGCGCCCACCCAAAGCTCGAGCCAACAGCAACAGTAAAATGCTATGGCCTGAAAAGTTAAGGCACAAGTAGGCCCTATAATTAGATGGGTTGGTCGGTTGGTCATTTTGGGCTTCAGCGGCTCCGGCCATATGCTAGGTGAGTTTCTTGGAGCGTGGATCCCTAGTTTCATCCAGAAGCCATTATCTAAAGACATAAAGGTGATACTTGCCGCAAGAAAGATCGCCCAATTGCTTGTCCAGTGCCGTATTCTGGTAAATCATACTGTATCATTCGTAAATCTCAAAGGTTCTTACATTCTTCAGTTTCTGCTTCTAAACCATTAGCGTTTGCATGGGCATGGGTCCAACAAAATACATCCAAAAGGGGACGATTTCACACGAACGATGACCAGAATCCAGTGGTCTTAGACTTTGACCCAAACATATTGCGACCCGTATGCGACCCATGCCCTTTGTTTTGGTGGGGAAAAGGGTTTTTGCGTATTTACTTTTGGGGCCATCTGACTTCTGTTGGCTTCAGGACTTGCGAATGAAATGCTTCGACATAGGTAATGTGAGGTAATGTCAACCACAGATTCTCAAATCCCTGAGCTGCGCAAGTTGAATCTGCAGGTTGATGGGCTTTGTTATTCCGGGCTTGACATCAGCCGTCACTGATCCTTATCATTTGGGTCTTTCCCCATCGCACCCTAAATCGATTTTCCTGGCAGGACGATCCAAAAGTTGAAGAAAATGCGCCGACGGCTCATCCTACTCAAAGCAATCTGCAAACCTTGTGTTGCAAAGGCTTCCAAGACCCTGGTCGTTTCCGATTCCTGATGGCTGGAAAGCCAGGGTGGCTTGGACCCTCGACATCTTGTGCGAAGCACTAAAGAGTTCTAAAACCTGGCAGGTGATGGTCCCATTATATGTCCCATTCGACCTTTCTTTCACATGATCAAAAGAAGTCGATGACAAAGTCCACAATGTGAAGCGTTCAAACTGTTTTGTAGACCCTTGTAACGACCACAACTGCACTCTAACCCTGGACTTTTTGAAAGTGCCAGAGCAGGGCCTATCTAGACAATCAACTGCTGCTGTCCTTCCAGGCCAAGGATTTGTTGAGTGGAGCACCGGGCAGGTCGTTTTGGGCCGACAAAGTCCAAAATCCACTCTGAAAGATGCATCGCCACTCAGTAAGTTGAAGTTCCGAGCAGCATCATAAAAGCCAGATTGATACCTTAAAGATAATCAAAACACATCAAAGCCGTCATGTTTTTGAGTGCAGGAATAAATGCTAGACGCCATCTTCCAAGCAGATCTAAGGGTCATGCCCATGTAAGGCATCACCTGGGCAGCTCAAACCCAGCGAGGCTTGCAGCCAGCTATGTGCCGAAACTGGGGACCCTCAAATCCTGAAGCCTTATTGTTTTGCACCCAAAACACTCTATTTCTATCTTTATATATCTTTATCTGATACTGCAATCCTTAGTAAAGCGCAAAAGGTAAACCTGAGAGTACGGCCAAGCACAGAATCGTCAAAACCAAGAAGCATGTTGGTCCTTGGCACATGACACCGCTGTAGGTGTCAAAATGGGCATGGTTAATCACTACAAAGGACCAATCAACCTTTCATTCCCAGGGTATCGTTGAATTTTGAGCGTACTCCATGTTTCCTGGTGAAAGCGTTTCAACCCTCCTCTTTTCTCATCTGAACCATGTTGAATCTCCATGATTTCTGGGTATGTTGAATCGCCAGTGAAAGCTCCACTTTTTGCTGCCAAGAGGCCGAGCCACTTCACGATAGTCGCTAAGGTCCTGGAAAATGTAAACCATCAGACGCAATTGCTCAATCGATCGAATGATGTCCAAGAAATCGTTATCATTGTACATGTATATGTATATGTATATGTATGTAAATGTATATGTATATGATTCAGATAAGCCAGAGTTTTCTGAAAATCGTTGGCTGACATTGATCATTAAAATTCTTGACAACTGCTTGTCCTTGCAGATAAACTTAAACACCTATCATCAAAAGATAGCAATAATGATACCAAGAAAATCTCCAATGCAAAATCCATCATTGACCCACCAAAATTGAACATCTTGACTGAAGAATTTCTGGATTTGGCGGGATTATTGCAAGGGCGACGGGAATACAAGAGAAAAAATGGAACATGTCCGCCAAAAACTATCAACAAGGTCACACTCATGTGGACCGAACCATAAGATTTTTGGCAACTGGACCCATTTCAGCATAAATAATTGGAGTTATCAATCGCACCATGCAGCCAGGCCACTTGTTCAGAACCAATTTGTAGATCAGTCTGGACCACCAAGAAGGAGAAACGCAGGCCTCTCCAACTCTTCAGTTTCTGGCTACATGTACAGGATATTGCAGGGTTATATAGGTAGGGACTTAGGGACCAAAAAATTTCCAGGTTCCAATTTTCCGCTGATGACCCATTCCCATCTGCACGCCTGCAGCCACGAAAGTCTGTGGGCCTAGAGATGTTGGCGATTCGCTTGCCGCGATGTTTTTTTTTTAAAGCACTGGCCTGTGTCTATACGGTGTATATGCTGCATGTTGTGTGCATTCATATTGCACAAACACATGTCTATGCTAAAATATGTGTGTACTACATATTATACAGCATAGTGTGTATATATATATACACATATTATATACATAATATATATATATATAATATCCAGACTACAGGCTATAACCCTTCCCCGTAAGATGAAATAGACCCTCAGAAACCTCGCGGATCTATTTGTTTTGGGGTCCATCCATACAGGGGATATTTGATATTGAGGGATGGGATATGATGCATTCCATTTTTGAGGTACTGTAAGGAAACGAACTGACGTTTCCCTCTGTACAGCTAAAGGCTAAAATCAGATAGGTCCAATGAATGTCAACTCGCCAAGAACTTGCCGTTTCACCCAATCGTCGCCTTCTCGGAGCTCATCTGCTTGGATTGACCAACCCAAAGGTAGGCACATGGATGCAGCACATCCAATGCAATCAGGGTGACCTCAGAAAGGTGACTTCACGTCGAGAAACACTGGAGATATGCATCACGTTCCGTTACCTTACGTCACATTACATTACACTACAAGCGTATACTAATAAGTGATATACACTAGCTATACATAACAGTATATCCACATTATGATTTTCCATATGCCACATAATATCCATTTCCAGTATGATATCCATCGTATGTGGCAAAAATCCCCCATCCGTTCCTCGATGACCACTGAGTCTGGGGCCACAATGCACGAGGCCAACGATCCTTGACAATCCCTGCAAGCTTCTGGTCCCGGAAAGGGGTTACCCCAAGATTGCCTCATTTTTAGTATGTGTATATTATATATATATGGGTGAAGAATAGTTTTTGGATTTTTGTTGATAAGGTTTGGTGTTTTTTTTTGATTTCTTTCCTGGTACCATGTGCCTTGTATTTGCAACCGTTTGGAACTAGAACCTGTCATTTTACATGGTATTGGCTACATGTTGGCATGTTCACCTTCCATTTTGCACGGTATTTGCTATATTTTTGGCACCTCAACCTCTCGTTTTGCATGGTATTTGCTACATGTTGGTACTTCAAACGCTCATGTGGGTTTCTTTAGGGTGTCATTCTGGGTATCTATAGGGTTTCATTTAGGGTGTCTTTAGGGTGTCGTTTATCTTTAGGGTTTCATTTCGGGGTGCTGGTGTCTTTGGGTTTCATCTAGGGTTTCTCTAGGGTTTCATTAAGGATGCAAATAGGAGAGAATAAAGCAAAAGAGAAAGAAAGACAAAGAGAGGCTAAAGGAAGGAAGCAGAGAAGCAAAGGATCAGGAAGAAGCAGAGCAGCAAAAACGCATGACTGCAGAAAAAGAAAAAGTAGCAGCAGTAGAAAGGCACAAAAGCAAAAGAGCAGAAAAGCACAGAAGCAGGAAAAGAAAAAACGGAAAAGTAGGAAAGCAAAAAAGCGGAGAAGCAGAAAAGCAGAGAAGCAGAAAGCAAAAAAGCAAAAAAGCGGAGAAGCAGAAAAGCAGAGAAGCAGAGAAGCAGGAATCCTAAAATAAATCCTGAACCTTATCAAAAAAAACCTAAAATTTAAATAGCCCTCCTACGTATATATATATACATCATTATTATTATTATCATTATTATGATTTAGTAACAGTAGTTTACTGGGGGGGTATTCTGAGTACATTATGTTGAACCTTTGAATTTGGGAGTCCTGTGTTTGAACAATACCATCCCGTAGCGCTGCGCCAAAGGCGCCCCAGTCAATCCCAAGCAAAGATGTGAACGTTTCGCAGCGCCAGTGCGAGCCTATCTTCAACGGTCAAATAGTAGTGAACCCAAGCTCCAATAGCGCCTACTCAACTGTCATCTCTGCAGGTTGCACAATGACTCTCTTTCTGAAGCTTCTGATTCAGAGGCATCAAGAGAGAAGAATGTATTCAGATCTGTGCCGAGAGTGCCAGCCATGCCAGCCTAGTATCAGAAGGAGTGTCCAGTATTTCACCAGGCAAATGGACGTCTGAGCCCGCTCACCACCTTGGCAGCTCGTATCATTGTCCAGAAGGTGAACGAGGCAAAGTGAAAGGCTGAAACTCATAGAAGATAAAAAATTGCAGATGTTGCCCCAAAGCCGAAATGTTCGTTTGAAACATTGTTTCTTTGCTCTAAATGCAAAGTTGCAGCGCGTCTCCAATCTTCTTCACAAAGCGGCTAGATTCATAAGGAGGCTCAAAGGTCACGTCGGCACCATAGAAATGGTAGCGCAGGTAGTCCTTTAGCGAAGGCAACAAAATGGCTGCCCCCCTGCCATTCGCCAGGTGGGTTCTCGACTCTTCCCGGCCTCCGCTGCTTTGGTGAAGGAGTAGAAATGGAGCGGGAAAGTCACATACAAACTCTGCGTTGACCGCCAAAGATTGTCCATGGAGAGGAAAATGACCTGAATGTGCAGAGTAAAGGGAGATCGTCACAAATGTCTCCCGTCCACGGACCATGCGGCTGTTGATCACAACCCTGGTACCTTCTATGTTCACATCGAAAAAGATGAGTGTCATGGATGTGCATCCTCATTCGTGTCCGAAATCAATAGCTGTTGACCCATCCCCATTTGGCAAGTGAAGTCTCAGGGTTTTTGTAGCTGCCACTTCTTTTTGACCCCCCCCAGCCTCATTGGTCTCCATGCTCGCTTGCAAGGTGCTTCTCATCGACGCAGAGATGATCATACCCCAATTAAGGACCTGTTGCAGGGTTGACCCCCGAAGACCCATGAGACCCGAAGGATGTGGTGAGTCAAGTCGTTTACGGATGACATTCACATTGCTTGAGGTTCCAACCTGTAGGACTACGATGAAAATGAACATTCCCCAGCAGTTGAAGTGATAGGTCTGCTCCGCAAACACGTTCCAGTAGTTGAATCCTCAGCCAGGGCTGTTGCAAGAAATCAAAAAAGCAAACCAGTTACCTGGGGCCATGATATCTCAGATATCTCCAGGAATGCCTTGATTTTCATACCAAAATGAAGCTCATGGTGAGTCTCTATTAAGCATGTTCATTCAGAATTGTATAATTAGTCCCATAGGGGCCCTTGGGTCTGCTTCGGTTTTAACTAAGGGGATATATCACCATTTTCCCCATCAAACCTCTAGACACGTCCAAACAGGTATCCCATATCCTATCCCCATTTCTGGCCCGGGATTGAGAGATTCATCCTGAGCCCCTGGCCAAGCCAAAAGGCCGGAAGCCATGCCCATACCTTGGAGCCCGCGGGTGATGGCAAGTTTGGAACTAAGGTCTTTACTGCCCATCCATTGCCCAGGTACCCAGTGAGATGTCTGATGCATGCCTCAGCTCCAGCTTCCAAACATCACGCAGCGAGCCTGTCAAGGGGTGTATCCAAAAACGGTTCTAGAAAATCTGGTTCAGTTTAGCAGAGCCAATGGGCTTCGTAATCCCCCATGTGTGGAATTTTGTGGACCGAAACAATCAGAAACAACCAACTGCTCCGAACTGAACTGCCATCCAAGAAGCGGATCAACAGCCTGCAAATGTGAAGATCAAAGGAAGGGGTGAAATGATCAGGATAGCCCATGAAGCATCATGAAGCGACTTTTCCTGAAGTCTGAAGCTTCCACAAATGACTTCATTTTCAAGGCTCTTGTCGACCTTTGAGTGGTGGTTGTGTGGTGTCACTTTCCTAAAAACAGCATGTTTTCACAAAGTTTCGGCCGGCTGCAAAAACATCACAAACTGGCGCCCTCTATGTCTATGTTTAGTTTTTTGGGGGGAATGCGATGCCTGCCCTTGGTCTATCGATCGCAGTGTGAAAAGCATCTACCATTGGAAACTGAACACATTAAACTTTCGTGACTCCCGCGGCGCAGCAAAAAGACCTCATAGTTTCGTAGTTCTTCCGAGCAATGCACGAAATCCACCAGATCCAGCCCCAGATCTGTCCCAGCCTGGCCCAGTGCCTCATCTCGTTGGGAACGGAGAAGCAGGAGCACAGGCCGCAGGCAGTGACTGCCTGCGGCGATATCCATTGGCGATCCAGGGATGTTCGGGGATTAGAACTAAAATTGAACTATGAGAGTTGTGACAGCTTCTCAGGAGATACTACAAGCCAGACCATCCACTGAATATCAGCCAACACAGCTTCAAAAGGGTCCCATAGACCGTAAACTGATGGATTTTGATCGCTCCGAACAAACTGATACTTCCGAAATAAAGGTGAATCACATATCGGGAACTAGAAAAAAGGGGAACCTTGAAGATCTCGGTCACCAACAGCAGCAGCAACAAGCAAACCGAGAGGCCTCCACGGCGACCGACTGGAGAAGTGTCAAACGTACAAACACTGGACATGACGGATATGGATAATTTGGAAAGTTCGAGGCCATATTTGAAGTGTTGGGACTGCTCACAGAGAAGAATTCATATTCACCGACCTGTGAATCTTGGGGGTCGAAGCATCCAAACTCTGCATGACCACAATCCCTGTCCCAAGCTGCTGTGCCCCCAATCTCTGCCTGCCAACCAGATTGCGAATTCCACGCCCATAGTGACCTCAGACTCATCCCAGCTAATTCCACAGACGCTCTAATACCAGTGCTCTCCAGTGCTCTTCTTCCAGTTCAATCACTTTGCATCGGCCCATGGGATTTAAATAGCCTCACTTCGAACACAGCCAGGCAGCATAGATCTTGATCAGACTGGGCTTGTTTCCAAAGTAACCACCTCAGAGGCTTCGATGAAATGAATGTAGTATATTGAATTATATTGATTGTATATTATTGTATATTGTAGTATATGGTCTGGGTCCAAATCTATAGCCCTCAAAACACTGATGTTCATCAGGTTCTGTATTCAATCATACACAGTTCTTGGGGGTACAGATTGTATCCAAGTTTGACCCAACCTTCCAGGTTTGGGAGCCAAGTTGCTTCCCACAATCTCCACACAATCTTTGAAGAGGTCCACCAGCGGCACCAAGATGCGACTGTCCAGCGAGAGGGGCGAACACACAAAACTTCGAACAACATGGGTTTGTCTGAAAATGTTGGGTATATTCCCAATGAAATAGCCATTTAATAGGGATAATGATCATTAACCATTGGGTTTAGGGGTACACGACATTTTCAGACACACCCACATGAGGTTTTCTGTTGAAAAGCAGCGCCGCCATTACCAGCTAAAGATTGAGACTCTTGGTGTTAACGTCAGCGTTTCAAAAAAAATCGGCCAAGAGTCTCAACGGTGTTCTTTTGCAGGACCCCCATCTCCACAACCACCATGCCCTGAGAGATGTTGCCAACCAAAATACCTCACGGCTGTTGGATGGGAAGCACTGTGGAAATGCGGAGAAGAGTCAGATCTCTGGGCCGCGAGCAGAGCCATACCACAAAGAAAATGAAGAAAATGAAGCTAAGCCAAAGCATAAAGCCCTCAGGGTGGAGTAATTCTCACATGTCAAGCTGGATCTCACGGTTTGTGCATTGAAAACACTTCTCCGGCAACACGCCTGTCGCCTTCCAAAGAAGGACTGCAGCCAAAACAGGACCTCAGATTTTGCGAGTTGGTATTTACAACCAAAAGCAAATGTCCAACAGGTTCCCGTGCTTAGACCCTATGTTTAACAGATCAACCCACACTTAAAAATTCAATCAAATGTTATGTTTGTTGGTGTTCCCCATTGCTTCATACCCAGCAATAAACCATTCCGTTCCCAATTTTACCATGGGTGGTGTAAACCATCAAAATATGGGCGGTTTATCACTGCCACGCTGCGTGGCCCTCGGCCATCCGCTGCATGGACGCCAGGGCTTCAGTGCCGCTGCGCGACATGCCGTAGGACAAACGCCTACGGGGAAGCTGAGATTTCTTCGTCTGCTGAGATGCACATTCTATGGCTAGAAATGAAACTAGGAAACAAACATTTACAAATAAACTATCTCATACATTCTCATACCATATCTACAAGGTATATACATGTCTGCGGGTAGATTGCCAACAGATTCTTCTTGGTGCCCATGGATCTTCCCCCATGGATCTTCCCAACCCCTGGGTGCTCAGCCGTCCTGTTGATAAACTGCGAATGTTGACCTCTGAGGACTTGATTCACGCTGCTAGCGATGTGCTCCACCTGGCTGTGACCAATTCGCAAATGAATCCCTGTGACATGATGTGACATGGATTGAAGAACGTGACTAGAACGGACCACCCTTGATGTCAGGTGTCTTATGGTGCCTTATGGTGCCTTATGGTGCCTTATACCCCCCAGCATTTGCCTTGCATGTCTCGGGAAAAGATCGGCGCTCAACCAAATGCTCCCTCCTGGCCACAGATTCAACATTGGTCAACACCGGTTCAACACCGCAAATATCAAGGAATGCTCAAGCACCTTTGTGTCAAAAACTCAAAAAGCATGTTGCTTCGTCAAAGTTCTTCACACAGTCCTGGCCTCTTCCTATCTGCTTCCCTGACTCGCTTTCGCTCGAAGTGCCACAATGAGGTATCATCCTGCCATGACTCACCAACTTCCACATCACAGGTGTCCATCATTTTGGAATATTTTGAACATAGAAAGCACACCTCCCGCATCAGCAGACGAGTGCTATTGGTATCCCAAGAACTGACGCCTGGTGCCAGCGGTAGATTCTATCGGCGATTGGTCACAACCAAGAAGGATTGCCAAAAAAATCTGTGGTTCCCATGTCTTACATCAAATTGTCCCAAATGGCGTTGGCAATTTCTGCCGTTGCAAGTTCTTTGCCACTTGACCAAGTGCAACTTGCGTTCTCACTGGAAAACCTCACACAGAGTATCATTAAGAATCATTTGCAGAACGACTGAGTCAAGTGCCACCACAACAGTTCTGAATCATGCTGTGAAAGCGGAAGAACTGAGCATTGTTGCCTTGGACGCCACAGCAGTTGACAAAATAAACTCAGGGGACGTCCCAAGATCCCAAGATCCTCCCAGCCAGGCTGCCATCCAGGTAGTCCAATTCTTCTGCCAGCTCGTGGAAGTAGAGCGGGCATTGCGCTAGGCCCACCTGGTTTCATTCCCCCGGCCAAAAGATCCATAAATTTCTTGGGGCTGTCCGGACTTTTTGGAATGCCGACTCCACCGACTCCGCCTCCTCATCCAACTCACCGGAGCGATCGAAGAAGAGCGGAATCGTCGTATGGAAAAAGTCCGGTTGGTACTGATGATACGGGTCGCAAATGCCTCGTGCCGTTGCAGGACAGGGAAGGGAAACTGCACTGAAGATGAAGAGAAATGTCCAAGTTCAACCCGAGGCTCTGAAGAGATAAGGAGAGTAGTCTCGGTCGTCTTGGTAGAGATTCCTTAGAAAAAGAGTTCATTGGAAGCTAGATTCAGTGGCCTAATTTCAAGCAGCAGTTGGCTGGTAGGAAGCATCCTGGGTGAAAAATGGTGTGAAGATGTTTGAACAAGCTTCTGTGGGCGGCTTGATGTGTAGTACCTCAGCTGCTGGAAAGGCAGAAGAAGGTTCAAACATTGGATTCACGGACGCAATCTCATTGCAAGCAAGGTGATGTTACGTGATATTCATGCTGTTGAGCGACATGTAGTTGGCAGCAAAGTTCAGAACCTGCAGGGGCTGGGAACCGGCAGCCAGAATGAAGTGACCAGAGTTTGAACTTATAGTAGCCTTCTGCATTCAGCAGCACATTGTCAACATTGCGCAGAAGTCACATCTGAGACTCCCACCCCAGGCAAGCCACGACTTGTATGAATCGGCACCAGATTCACAGATGGATCCTTGTCCCAACAGCCAGAATCTGCTGACTTGCCAAGAATCTCACACCATTGTTGACCCTTTGGCAACAACTTTTATCCGCTTCAGCCGCTCCATTCTCTAACAGTTGCCAAGCCGTCCCGCAGCAAGCCGCTCCTGCTCTTCCAAGCCATAGACCATCTCTTTGGTCTTGCAACGCAGACCAAGCCACTGGTTGTTCTCAGGGTTTTGTGGCACCTGCCCACATGGCTGGACGCAGATTCGGAAGGTGGAAACATTTGAGACCCCAACACAATGTGATAATTTTGCAATCTTACCACAATATCCACAATTGACAACAAATAAATTGGTCACCAAATCGACATTTGACATCCATCCGTGATCGTCTTGTCACAAGGCCATCAGGTCATGGCCGCCATGGCCGCCATGGCCACCATGGCCGCACCGAGGCACCTTGTAGTAGTAGATTCCGGGAGCCACATGCTGCGACTTGACCTCAACATGAATCATCTGACATACCAACATACCAACATACCAACATACTCCAACATACTGTACCGTTAGCATCTGTTACTATCTGTTACTATCTGTTACTATCTGTTACTATCTGTTACTATCTGTTACTATCTGTTACTATCTGTTACTATCTGTTACTATCTGCTACTATCTGCTACTATCTGCTACTATCTGTTACTATCTGTTACTATCTGCTACTACTGCTACTCTGTTACTATCTGTTACTATCTGTTACTATCTGTTACTATCTGTTACTATCTGTTACTATCTGTTACTATCTGTTACTATCTGCTACTATCTGCTACTATCTGTTACTATCTGTTACTATCTGTTACTATCTGTTACTATCTGTTACTATCTGTTACTATCTGTTACTATCTGTTACTGTTACTATCTGTTACTATCTGCTACTATCTGCTACTATCTGTTACTATCTGTTACTATCTGTTACTATCTGTTACTATCTGTTACTATCTGTTACTATCTGCTACTATCTGTTACTATCTGCTACTATCTGTTACTATCTGTTACTATCTGTTACTATCTGTTACTATCTGTTACTATCTGTTACTATCTGTTACTATCTGTTACTATCTGTTACTATCTGTTACTATCTGTTACTATCTGTTACTATCTGTTACTATCTGTTACTATCTGCTACTATCTGCTACTATCTACTATCTGTTACTATCTGCTACTATCTGCTACTATCTGTTACTATCTGTTACTATCTGTTACTATCTGTTACTATCTGTTACTATCTGTTACTATCTGCTACTATCTGTTACTATCTGCTACTATCTGTTACTATCTGTTACTATCTGTTACTATCTGTTACTATCTGTTACTATCTGTTACTATCTGTTACTATCTGCTATCTGCTACTATCTGTTACTATCTGTTACTATCTGCTATTATCTGTTACTATCTGTTATCTGTTACTATCTGTTACTATCTGTTACTATCTGTTACTATCTGTTACTATCTGTTACTATCTGTTACTATCTGTTACTATCTGTTACTATCTGTTACTATCTGTTACTATCTGTTACTATCTGTTACTATCTGTTACTATCTGTTACTATCTGTTACTATCTGTTACTATCTGTTACTACTCTGTTACTATCTGTTACTATCTGTTACTATCTGTTACTATCTGTTACTATCTGTTACTATCTGTTACTATCTGTTACTATCTGTTACTATCTGTTACTATCTGTTACTATCTGTTACTACTATCTGTTACTATCTGCTACTGTTACTATCTGTTACTATCTGTTACTATCTGTTACTATCTGCTACTATCTACTACTGTTACTATCTGTTACTATCTGTTACTATCTGTTACTATCTGTTACTATCTGTTACTATCTGCTACTATCTGCTACTATCTGTTACTACTCTGTTACTATCTGCTATACTATCTGTTACTATCTGTTACTATCTATCTGTTACTATCTTTACTATCTGTTACTATCTGTTACTATCTGCTACTATCTGTTTCTATCTACTATCTGTTACTATCTGTTACTATCTGTTACTATCTTTTACTATCTGCTACTATCTGTTACTATCTGTTACTATCTGTTACTATCTGCTATCTTTACTATATCTGTTACTATCTGTTACTATCTGTTACTATCTGTTACTATCTGTTACTATCTGTTACTATCTGTTACTATCTGTTACTATCTGTACTATCTTACTATCTGTTACTATCTGTTACTATCTGCTACTATCTGCTACTATCTGTTACTATCTGTTACTATCTGTTACTATCTGTTACTACTATCTGTTACTATCTGTTACTATCTGTTACTATCTGTTACTATCTGTACTATCTTTTACTATCTGTTACTATCTGTTACTATCTGTTACTATCTGTTACTCTGTTACTATCTGTTACTATCTGTTACTATCTGTTACTATCTGTTACTATCTGTTACTATCTGTTACTATCTATCTGTTACTATCTGTTATATTTTACTCTATTTTACTATCTGTTACTATCTGTTACTATCTTTACTATCTTTACTATCTGTTACTATCTGTTACTATCTGTTACTATCTGTTACTATCTGTTACTATCTGTTACTATCTGTTACTATCTGCTACTATCTGTTACTATCTGTTACTATCTGTTACTATCTGTTACTATCTGTTACTATCTGTTACTATCTTCTACTATCTGTTACTATCTGTTACTATCTTCTACTATCTTCTACACACTTTTTCAGTGATTCCACAGCCTTCCTACTGACATCTCCCGTCTCCTTGCAGCTGAAGAGCCGTTCGCTCATCCTCTACAGGCCTAGCTCTGGCCTTGCGGTCATGCAGCTGTCATTTAAGTGCAAAGTGAAATCTCCAATTTGGAAAAATAGAGGCTTGAGATTTGTTCATATTAGAGATGTCTATTTATATATATATAAGTTCTTTTGGGGAGTTTAACGCACAAACAATTCTCAATGTTTTTTTCCCGTCCGAGCGGCCAGGTAGTGCATGCGCAAGGGCAAGGCATTCCTGTCCTTCGGCTCCCAGTCATGAACCTGGCGAATCGCGTGGGCAACATCTCGAAGGGGTGAAAAAAAGATGGCATGGTTTCCATGGTAGTATTTGCATGCAATATCATGTAATCTATATATATGTATTATATGTATGTGTATATTGATATATGTATAATATACATATATATATACATTATATAATATATGTATTTATACGTGTGTGTGTGTGATTACATATGCATTCCGAATTGAAAAGGATGAAACCCTCCCAGCTGATTGGTGGAAACTGATCAACAGGTCAAAACCTTCGGCTGCAGTCCAGGAAGCTGTGTCAGAGTTCAGGTCAAAGACTTCATCGCTGGTGCTGGACAATGCCTGGCACAAGCATATATATATATGGTACCAGTTGAAACCTACCAATAGCATCTATATAATTATATAATTATAATATATAATTACTGGTCAAGTTCTGCAAATTCTGTGCTACACTTACTAAGCCATCCAGGTTTTTTTGGATCATGACCAGAGCCAGACCAGTTCCCTGTGGTTCCAACCAGTTCCTGGAAGCATCGGAGAATCAGACTTTCTCACCTCATGGAGCTGCTCCACCATGGCATCCAATTGCATCAAGTATCTTCCATCCTGCAGGTTTTTCATCAGATCGACTTGATCGACCCATTTTGGCAAAAAGAAACAAGGTCACTTATGGTCACTTAGTGCCTTTAGAAAGCACCCAGAAAACTCTCTTGGTACAGCACTAGTGTACTAAGAGCGTGGGAAATTCGGCATCTCTCGGGGGTCCATCCACGACCAGGTGTTCTCTCGCAAAGTTTGAAGAGTCACTCGACCGCCTTAGCGACGCTGGACCCCATAGATCCACCAGTGACCATGTGGGCGTTGGTCAAATACCCACGAGCCCATGATCCAACCGATCCAACCTCTGGGTGCCATAGGGTGCCGTGATCAACACCTTATTTGCATGTCTATAGCGGCTAAGCTGCTGAGATATTCAGCAGCCTCCTCAGCAGCCAAAATCCCGACGAGAGTTGTGAGACACATTGGCACGACAGTAGGAAGCTCGGATGATAGAAATCAATAGAAAACAATAGAAATTGACACAAAATCAATATCTGATCCAAAATATTCAAAACGCCAATGGCAATTTCTTCGACCTTTCAAACCTGCAAAACCCCTCCTTCTCTAATCCTCCTTCTGCGCGGAGTCGGCCAATATCCTTGGTTGGATGAAGATCCGGACTTTGCGAACAAGTCAGCGACTTGGCAGACATCGAGCCGCATCCAAATGAAACACCAAAGTGCTGACAGGTGGCTATTCTCTTGGTCCCTTCTACCCACACGTGGAAGAACTGTCGAATGTTCTCTTCCAGCGTGTAGTTTCCATCAAAACCTCCCAGCTCCAGTTCCATCATTGATCATCTTTGCACATGTTCTTCATGTTTTTGAATCCCAAGTCACTATCAACTGCGTCATGACATGGGCAGGATTCTGCCTGGAATTGCATCGACGATCTTCGTCAAAATCCTGAGCCGAAGGATTCAACTTAAAGACTCGGCCGCAGCAGCTGGGGCTGCTGTGGTGACCTGCCATCTTTCAGGTCTCTAATGACAAGTGTTTCATCAATGGTTTCTATAAAACATCTTCTTGGCTTACCCTGTCATTTGAAAGGATCAAGTCTTGATAGATTCGAGTTCGTTCCAAGTAGTCGCTTTCAGCAATTCCAAAATATTTCAACAATGTGATAAGCCTGGGGTCATGTCTACTTCAGCCAGGGCTCTCCATCAACTGTTTTAGCTCGGTTCGGTGGAGGTCGTCGGTGAGGGTCACATGGAAACGACACTCACAAGCCTTCGACCGATTCTGAGGAGATCTCAAATGTCGTTGCATCTCGACATATCTCGACACACAGGGCACACAAGAAATGAACACTTTGCCACGTGGGCAGATCTCTTTATTAGCAGGTGAAGAATCTAATGCTGGCAATTGATCTCCGACCATCTTAGGGTGATAAATATTCGAAATCCCCCCAAATGCAAAAGGATCGACCCAGGGTGCGTTGGATAGCCTCGTTCACATTTATGAGAAGTTTCATGATGTGGACAAAGCTACTGGTGAGTTGGGAGGATACTGCTGCTAGCAGACTCGTTTGACGAGACTTTTCCGGTCTTATTATCTCCTGATCAGTTTCGTCAGCGCCATATTCAGACTTACCTTGAAACTGTTTCACAAGTCTGGAACTTCAATTGTAGATGGAAGTTTGGATGACAAGGTACAACTCTTCTTTCATCTTACAATACTTGTGCAAAGAATCACATGAATTACATGGCCACAAGTAGAGGATTGTCACCTCGCCACGCCCCAAAGCCTTCGGCATGCATGCCACCGCACCAATGAGACTCCTATGCAAAATTTGCGATGGCTGCCACACTACCAGAAAGGTTTGTGATATCCACAATCTTTGACTTGCAGTCCTGAGAGTGATGGATTTCTTCTCTCCCCAGCTAGCGATGCAAACATTGATACATCCTCAGACACGACCAACATATACCAACATGGCGCTCAAAACTAGTGAATCATAGTGAATAGTAGTGAATACAGTACTTCAAAACGGCAATGTTTGGCAAATCTGGCCCAGGGCTCTGAGGCTGCTAGTCAGATCAGGATCATACCTGCAACTACCGTCCACACACGGATGTGGTAAGCCCCAAAAACGACCGCAATCGGTACGTACAGTACGCATGTCCTACAAGGACCCCTAAGGACCCACATTGTTATGTTTAGCACATTTCACATCAGAATCTGAGGAATCATGGAATCTTGAGCTTAGTCCCCAACTTCGATTTATCCACAAGACTCGAGTGAATTCCAGGACGCAGGGAAGCAACTTAAGGATGCTGGATTTGCAAATATGACATTTTTATGTCGGACACAAATAGATCAAGACAGCTTCTTTTGGAGATTTCGGAGTCCCAAAATCTCAATCAGAAAAATGCTCTCTTAGTTGATGCATGTTGATGCTAATTAAGCACATCACTGATGCCTGCGATAGTGCGAGTAGTAACTGAAGATGCCGGGACACAAGAGCACCACCTCGAGAACACACATCTGTGTGGACACAGAGATACAAAATTCCTCTGGCTCTGACGAAGCCCAAAATAGACTCAGTTTGCACCTTCAGCGAGAAGCAAAGAATCAACATATAGCCTCAGGCGATGATCAACTGATTCTCATGACAAAATCAGATTCCTATAAGATCCTATAAGAACATGAAGCACCAACTCAAGGCAAACTCAAGGCATCAAAACCCTTAAAGGTTCGGCCACAATGCTTCGACTGGACTGGAGAGGCAAGCTTGAAACACAAGAACCCTCAACGCGCAGAAAGCCTCCCTTTCACCGAGGCAAGGACAAAGAATACGAACTGCCGTCGAATCGTTGGTCTCCCACTGACAGGCCGGATCAAGTTTTGCCATGCAACACATGAAACACTCGTGCAGTTTCTACTCCGCCAAAGTCTGTCCAAAGAACTGCATGGCCTTCACAGGGCCTACCAAGGTGGATTGCAGGATTCTGCCATCGCTGGTGCAGTTCGCCATGGCGGGCCTTTTTCCCACAGAAATGGAAGAGTTACTCAGAGTAATTGCGTAACTCCAAGCATGAGATCAGCCATGGCAGCTTAAGGGTGCGACTGTTCGATGGTGCAGGCATGAGCACAGCGCCCGGAGACCTCCAAGCATCTGTCCTTGGGATCAGCAACTTGTGGCAAACAGCTGGGGTCGCAACCCTTCAGGATCTACTGCAGAGGTACCCTCATGTACACTGCTACACATGTGAGAACCTGAAGCATTGTACATGGCAACATCGGACTCCAATTGTGGCCAACAACAAGCACTCCAAAATGCTCATACCTCGGTTGCTTCCAAGCATCATTGAATGGAGGTGGCGCAGCCTTCTGCCCTGCTGTGAAACCCTCAAAGCCCTGGCGGATGACACATGCCCCAGGAACAACCCTGGAAGTAAACTTTTCCACGGGCTTGGAACAACCTGAGGATCTCCAATAGCAACTGCACCAAATCCCAGAAAGCTCGGCCGACGCCGAATTTTCCCAGCCTTGTGGCGATACACAGAGCCGTTCACTGCGCAAGCGACCAAATAAAGCGGTCCCTGCTTCCCATAGCACCATTTTGGATCTATGGTCAACCTGAAAGGTCCATCGGCAGTCGCTGTGTCATCAACAGATCCACAAAAAGGGGATGAAGAGAAGTCACCTATGACGACATGCCAAGAATCTTCAAACAGCAATGGCCCTGGCCAAAATTTTGGGTATCACAGGCGCGCAATTCTTAGTTTTAAACCACTACGGGAATACATTCTGGTCAAAACCCAAATAAGTCCTGCCGGCCTGGTTGAATTTCAATTTTGGACTGCGTAGCGGCGTAGGAATTCTTCCATTTTCCCAAAAAAGGTGTGAGCCATGCCCTGATGTCATCTATCATCTGATATCCAGGATATCCATGTCTCCATTTGGCGCCTGTTCTGCTGCTGGAAGTGCATCCGGTAGCGCGCGAAGTCCCCAATGGCCGGCCCAGGGCCATCTTCCATGTCTTCATCCGAAACTGCAAGGCTCAGTGAAACGAAACGGTGACACAACTGACCCAAATGATGATCATGTGAATGATGTGAATGTTTGCGTCTTCCATGAACGTCCCTTGTTTGTATTCTTTCTATGGATCCACTATCTATTCATGTTACCACTGAAAACACTAAAAACCCTGCTGAATCTGCCTTTGACCAGTGGATCTCCAGCAGCATCTACCGACACAGGAGGTCTGGTCTTTACGTAGGCCTCGACCGTGCAACAACCATCAGCCCGTCAACAGTCAATTCCAGTGGCTTTCAGTGGCTTTCAGTGGCTTTCACACATCAAGAGGCACCTGGTACAAGGGCTTCCACACACCAGGAGTGGACTCCTCTGTCAAAGCATGTGGCAATCCGGGGTGTCAATGGCGCCAACAATCCAATCCAGACCCCTGCTGACAGGACTTCAAGCAGGCGTCAATCAACTCGTGATATACAGCAAATCCTGAATCATCAGTTTTTGGCACCTGCAAACAGCTTCCAATGCAGCTGAGCAGCTGAAGATTCAAAAATCACTGTAGCAGGCTGTGATAAGATGTTCTCGCCGTCTGGTTGCCCTTTCAGAGCAAAAGAAATGCAGCTGTCACCAGAAAAACAAGAGTTCATGCGAAGAGCATGCTTCCAGCCACAACATGAACGACAACAAAGCAACCAAAGCCTAGTCCGCGCACTGTGACTTGAAACTTTGGCCTTAAAACATGCTGCTTCCATATCTTCCATGCTGTGTTTCACTGGGCTTCCTGGTATTCTGAGGTCTCAACAGGGAAGCATAAATGAAGGAGCTTTTCGCATCCTCGGAGTCTCCTGGAAAAGCCACCGTAGTGGTGGAAGGACTCTCAACAGAAGAGCCCCTGTGAGGTGATTTGAAAAAGCCGAAATCCTGAAATTAACTTGGCATCATTTCCCTATTGAGATTTATCAAATGATCACTTTTCTATATCTTCTCCCACCATGACCCGGTCCTGAAAACAGGCCTCCAATGCCACCGTTCGTCGAATCCGGGTCACCACCCCCAACACCAGGGATGCCACCAGGGAAGCCAGGTAGCTCAGGAATCCCCGCCATGCCAGGAATTTGCAGCCGCCGGAAGGAATCCTCTTTGGTTCACAGATGAACGCCACATCAGAGTTGATGTCAGAGAAAGCCATCACCAAAAAAGTGAACGTGGTAAAGCAATCATTCACACATCTGAACAAACCACTGATCAACTTCTCATAAAATCAACAAGAAAAATAGGCAGTTAAGATTAAATCATCATGCATCATGCCTAATTAAAAGAATCAGAGGAACAACATGGCACCTTCATCACAAGAGAAACAAACTTTCCTAAAGCGTGTACAAAATGTCGTGACAAAGAGCGACACAAAAATGTTTCAATAAAATCAATCACGACACATATATATATATATATCATATATGTGGGTCACCATATATATATATATATATATTATCTTGGTGGGCTGGGTATCCCTCTGCGCAACAGGGTTTTTTCAGCGTGTTCATCATTGTTCATCCCCCGATCGCAAGACTTCGGCAAGAGCTTGGGATCGCAGTCCTCGTCAATCTCATTGGGATTGTATTTGCAATTGTGACCTCAGATCCCACCAGATCCCAGGGCAGCCCGTCATCCCAAGAAAATCCAAACAGCTCAAACAGCTCAAACAGCTGACAGCAGGAGAGCTGAGGAAGGAGCACTTCCAGTTGGAAAAAGGAGCCTCCTTGGTCAGGCACTCCCCGTACTCATCAACCTTCGCCAGTACACTCAGTACACAAAACAAATGCCAGGCCAAGCCAAAACAAATCAACGGTGCAGCCTCTGGGCATTGCTTCATGGTGACCTGCCAGGTGGGTCACAGCTGTCCCGACTAAGAGGGCCAGGCCAATGGGCCAATCATCTGCCCCACCTTTCCTTTGAAGTTCGCCTGATTGAACGGCTTGCCCGCGAAGGAGTTCTCCGTCACCTCACAGATTAGTACTCTTGACTTATGATTCAATCATCAGCCTTGCCACTTTCACAGCATCTCTGTTTCCGATTGGATATTCCTCTTATTCCTATCCTTTTTGGATTGGACGTTCCTATCCTTTTGCAGGAATAAGGCAGTATGTAAATATTGAACAAAAACATACAAAAACATTCATTGCACAGACTGTCCCAGACTGTCCCCATATCAAAAAAATGCCATCTCTGTTGATTCCTGCCTTGATGGTCCCTCGTGAATCGCAGCCCTGCAGAGTTTGTGGGGGATGAGTGGAGCCACAACTCCAGCCACAGACTCCTCCCACCTCAGTTTAAGCCAAAGAAAAGGACTCAACCAAAGCTCGAAGAAAAATCGAGACACTGAATATAAAATCAAATAATATAAATGCACGCAAAACTGCAATCTTGCATCTATGGGAAATATATGGAAATATGATGAAATATGGAATAGAACTGAAAACCTTTGGTGAAAGTCGGCCTGAGCACGGTCACCACACACCATGCTGAGCTGCCCTGACGGAAGAGCACAGATTTGCGATCTGCAAGTCGGTGACCTGAAAGGAAAGATGTGCTTCCGGGATGAGCTAAGTGGAGCTTCAATAGACTCGAAATGATATCGGAGAATATCAAAGAGATGTAGCAGGGAATATGAACATGTATGAACATGTATGAACATGTATGAACATGTATGAACATGTATGAACATGTATGAACATGTATGAACATGTATGAACATGTATGAACATGTATGAACATGTATGAACATGTATCATACACAATTCGACATAGGTCGTACATCTTCCCAGATGAGGGCTGCGAAGGAATCCACTGTGGGTCACCAGCTCCAGCAGCTGGGTTCCCTGACTTCGGCAGCTGTTGAGAGCTCTTCCAAACGATCAGGATCCCAAGTCACACAAGCCAGGACCTCAGGAAGTATCTGCCAAATAGGAAGTGAAAATTAGTGAACATTGGTATCAGACAATCCAAGCATATAGCAATGGAGAATCCAGTTGATAGATTTGTTCCATATTGAGAGTCGGAAACGAAAACCTGCATAGGCATAGAGCAACTTTGCATTCTACTTGCGAGGCCTGGGGAACTTACATTGCACACTAATGGATAGAACATGTCTTGAAAATGAAACGTTCGAGTTCGCAAAGTTCGCAAAGGAACTTGTAGAAATATTGTCCTCCAGGTTTCCTGGGATGCTGGGACCCCACACATAGGTCCCGCTGAGACCAGCAGGCATCTGCTGAGGTGCTGGAGGTGGGCGAGTGCAGACTGGACTCGAACGCACGAAAACGGCACCTCCAACGCACCGAAAATCGGAGCAGGGTCTGTTAGAATGTGCCGTTGAGGCCACCAAGAAAACATGTGCCGTGGGTGTGCAAAGTAAGTTTGCAAAGATGAAAAATCTGAAACCCATCATTTCTGTTTCTATTCCAACAGTCTTGTCCTGTATTTGGGGATCCTTTCTGCTGCAGCTATCACAAATGTTTGAAAGGACTCCTAGGCACAGATCAACTCCCTGCACCTTCATGAGCCTCGGTGAGCAAGATCAAGCGCGGGATTTCATTGTTTGTATCAAACGGCTTAAGATTGTGGCGATGGACCTACGCCTTTGGTCATTCTGAAGCTATCTGATTTGGACGCCAACCCCCTGCAGCTGGTGTTTGAGCAAGCGACAGTATGCTCGCTCCAAAATGGTCTGGGGTGAGCAAAGCGACGGTCACTCACAACCTTGCTTTGCACAAATGGCTAGCTGCGCAATCAGCTTGCAAAAAGCCATCTCCAAATGTTGCACTAATATGCACTAATGTCAACGTGGGACTACCAAAGTAGTGCCAAGGTTCCACAACGGGTTGTAGCTCTAAACATGATAAGTGCCCCTAAGAACTACAGTAACAGTAACTAACATTCAGCAATCCTAAGTTGACATGAACAAAGCCTCAGGCTGGGCTCCGAACCCACCAATCCTGAAAATCTGCAGATGCCAGCAACACCGGATAAACTGTGTGGGCATGGGCCTGGCGATGTTCAACTGCCTTTCTGGACGAAGCACCGTGAAGCACCGTGAAGCACCGTGAAGCGCTGTGCGATCCGATCGAAGCCTGCCATACCCTGCCTGTGTCAACGCTGAGTCATTCAGCGACAGGCTCACTCTGAAGTTCATCTCCTCCGTTCGGTATCCCCGCCAGGCCTCAGTTGGGGCCGCATGGCCTCACAGCTCGGTGGAACCAACACCTGAGGTCACAACAGAGCAGCTGTAGTTGCACTGCCCTCACCGGTGTCGCATCACCCGCAGGGGTTGTCTCTTGGGAATCTGCAATAATATTATAACGATATGATGCATCACAAACCTAGGATGGCTTCCTGTCCCAATTTCTAGACAGCTACACAAAGTGCTTCCCATCTTCTTTACGATATTGTGAAATCCCAACTGCGTCCAACCAATTGTCCCAAATCCCAAAACTTATTGCACTTGGGACGGATGTAGTCTCCTGAAGACTCGGGAATGGCGCTCATGTGAATCTTGGGCTTCATCTGCTTCTGGAGCCTCACTTCGGCTGGATTTGTACGAAATCATGCCTCTGGAGCCAACAAGTCCAGTTCGTTCAGCTAGCCTCAAAGTCCCTTTGCACACGAACTTGAGTTGGACACTTTAATTTTGATGTATCCTTGTGATATACTCAAGGATCATCCCAGAATCAAATCTGCATCGTGGTTCTCAAGTCAAGGAGCAGCTCCTCACTGTCGAAGTCTCCCGCTAAAAGAGGAAAAGCTCCATAGTCTTCGTACCAAAACCTCCAACGGAATCTCTGGATATCTGTGGCACATCTCAGCCATTTGCGAGTCAAAGGATCAAGAACTGCCCAACTGATCCAACTGATCCAACTGATCCAACTGCCAAGCGACTCTCTGGGCTTGGGGTTCACGAGGAGCCACTTCACCCACAATGGGAAAATCATCCTTGGCCGACACAGCCATGGCCCTTATTCAGTGGTTTCCGTCTGCAGCGTCACTGCCATAAACAACCCAAAGTGCAGCAAAGGAGCAGAAACAGTAGGAATTGCCAAACCTCAAAGGAATCGAGGGATCAGAAATCCAGCGTGTTAGAGCCAAATTAAATGATCTGTTGAAAAGCGGGATGCTGTTGCACATGGTATAGCCAAACATTCTGCCTTTGATTACATATAAAATTGCAGATGCAGACAAGTGCATGTAGCAAACCATGCCTATCCATGGATGATTCCAATGTTAGCAAATGCTGTGTTCAAGCTGTGCATGTATACACACAGAATATATGTCTGCCTGCCTGCCTGTCTGTCTGCCTGTCTGTATGTAGGTATGTATGGGTCTGGGTATGTACATATCAAACTTCTGCTCGCAATCCTGAAATGACCACATCTATCGGGCCCCGGGCATAGCACCAGTGGCACACTCGCTGAGCACTGCACACCTCAGATCGCTGGGATCTCATCATGGTCCACCCTACCCATCTTTCCCATCTTTCCCACATTTTCCTCTTGAAATCAACATGACGATTAAAAGGGTACAAAAAAGAATAGGAGAGAAACATAGAGAAACATGATTTTTTCTCAGCAATGGCTTGGCTTTCGATTGCCTGAAAATCCCACGGGTCCCGGAAATCGGCATCTGGGTAGCCACCACTGGCAAGCATCGCCGACGGCGATTCCGAAGCACCAAGGTTTTGCCGTCGCTTTCACTGACATCTGTGGAGTCCACACCACCTTGGTCGCGTCGCTGGTCTAAGGATGGCTAAGGATAGCTACTGTAAGGATAGCTAAGGATAGCTAAGGAGCTAACTTCATGGACTGTTCCAACCTATTTCAAGACATATTTCCGGGCATATTTTCGGATGGTCTAGTTTGTTTGGTGCAGAAAAGTGACCAACTGTTCGTGATAGGTTTACTTGCTGGAAACCCCATCCTTGGAGCCGCAGTCTATGAAGGGCACTGGATGTGGTGTACACGAACTCTACCGTCTCAGGATCACCTGGCACAAACCACAGAGCATTCGTAGAGCATTCCGAGAGTACAGCGATCAAAATTTGATGTGTGACTGTTAGTATCTGTTAATATCTGTTAATATCTGATGATAAATGTTAAATTCAATGACTGGGAAATGTCTTCAATAACTGGACATGAAATCTCACTATCGAGATTTGTGGATCTCAAAAGGGAGCTCCTGAGCCATCCTGAGCCTATGAAATGCTCTTGCAGTCAAGCGTCTCGTCATGGCTGGAAATCATCACAGCACACTGAAAAAATGGGGCGAAATCGTTGCTTTGTGGATTTGTTCAATGTTGATTTAAGGCTCAACTTAAGTTCAAGCATCAAAGAAATCAAAGAATAAGTTGCTCAACTTCAAAATGCCTAGTATTCCAAGATGAAACAAATCTTGTTCCGTGGCGAAAGCATGCGAAACAACATCGTTATGATATATGTCTCGAGAATTGATGCATACACCCTGACTACTTAAGGATTGCGAAAGACCTTGTTTGGATTTCAAGTCCATCAGTTGCTTCAAATGACTTGTGCCCAATTTGTATGGTTCTTTCTTCGCGGCTGCAGAAGCACGTGTGAACTTGTTCAAGAGCTCAACAATCTCGCGACGCAGTTTGATTCAGCGGTCCCGCAGAATCTCCAAGAATCTCCTCTGGATGATCTCTGAAGCGAAGAACTGGTTAGTAGCAGTGAAAATTAACCATTAACCATCATTCACCACTATGAAAATGGTATATAGCTGGGTTGTAAACCAGTTGTATCCCACTACCATTGGACCATGGTGGGTTTTTTTTAACCCGCCTATCATTCACTAACCATAGTGGGACTCACTCGGATCATCCCACTACTTTTTCAGCGGCAGAGCATGCCAAATTCAGACGGTTTTCATGTTTAAGCAGCTGCTGGGTCTCTCATGGACCATTGCTGCGATTGCTTCATATTGAAGTCATGCAACGCCAACACAATGATTTGAACTGTTTTGAAACACGACTGTGAGGCATCGAAGCTCTTATAGTTTCGCAAGAAGATCACGCGTTTAAAGTTTCATCACTCACAGCTTTCAACGTTCGTCAAAGCTGGTGATCCTAGTGACTACATGTGATTACTTCGAAAAATGATACGGTTCCATGTCAATGCAGTTCCTTGGGAATTGCAAATCCTGGACCTACCTTTGGCAAATACCTTTCCCTTCTATGAACAAGCTGCAAGCTCCTGCAGCCTTTTCCGGGCGTTCGGGTCACTGCTATCCGTTATTACCAACGCTGCAAGGCATCGTGTATTTGCTCAGGCTCTTATCTGGAGCGGGATCTGTATTCTCCGCAAGCGAATTCCTGTGTAAATATGCAGCAAGTCAAGTCCTGTGATTTGTTTCTTCGTTAGTGATTTCCCTCCTTCCAGCTGCAATGCTAATCTCCTTCATTGGTGCAGCATGTGATTCTTCACATACTTCCAGATCAACATCCAAATTCTTTTCTACATTGGCCTGCAGCCAGCTATCTGCAGATGGGAGCAACCTGGGAGGCAAGTCATCTGTCCTTGGCGAAGCCTCTCCGTCTGCGAGGGTTGCATGGTGTGACATCAAGTCATCGAGTGTCTCAAAAATGTCGGTACTTTTGGACGCCATATACAAGCGCCTTCTTCGGTTGTGGCTATCCCCCTCAGACCGGGCCAAATAATCTGTGATGGAAAATCGTGCAGGGTGCTTGCCATGACGGTGGGGTGTGAATTTTACTGGCACCTGCTTTTCTGGACGAATCAGTTCCAACAATCGTGCATTCCAGTCTTGCTGCATCTTGCCCAGTGGCAGGTCATTGGGATCGTCTCCAAAAGGATGGTCGATTTCAGCTGAAATGAAGAAAAGGGCCCAAAATCCAGACATTGCAATGAAGGTGATCAACCCTGAACAATACCAGGGATGGATGTACTGGCTTGTGATCATGGTTGTAATCACAGAATGGACTGCAAGCATCATTACAATCAATTGGGCATATGGAAATGGAAAAGGAATGTCCCGAATCTTGGCCAAGTCAGATACTTTGACCCGGCCTCGCCCTAGGTCTTGGAACGAACGAGACAGGATTGGTGCAGGCGCCACCAGCACATGATTCAAATGACTGTCCAAAATCAAGCGAGACAACCACAGGCACAGCACGTCACACCGATTCATGCTATCCCGGAGATGTCGAAGACTTGTCACATCAATACCGTAGACGTCAATCAA